AAAAAATTAATACGTTGTCCATCAAAATGAGAGATTAAATCCATTGCAGTATTAAATAAAAGTAAATTTTATTTAATATCTACTGCAATGGATTCCAACACACGTTGGTGTACGGGACAAAAAAAGGGCAAACCGTTTTTGTAAACTAGCCATAAAAACGAGTAGATGAATTATACAATGATAAAAGTACATTGTGATTATTTCTTGTTTATATTTATAATAAGTTTACTATTGTAATCTTTTGGAGGAAACAATGAAGAGTATCTATCTATCTATCCTCTATTCAAGGTCTCGACACCAAACAATAAATGTAATTACCAATCTCTGGCAGACTGGCTGTCGTGCAACATACAGCGGTCTAGAATCATACTTTACACGAAATTTCTTAATGTAACCTAGGTGAGCATACAAAGCTATTCCCTGAAATTTCCACGGGAATAGAAAGAAACGGGAAATAATTTTCACCAAGCAGACGAAGCTACGGATAACTCTTCTGAAAATATCTGTTTCCACGCAAACAAAATATTAGTATGTCTTTCTATTCAGCTACTTGTAAGAATGAAGATTAATATTAAGTTAATTCTGTAAAAATACTAATATTCAAGGAAGGTAAATTTAGGTAATAAAACCAGTCCGGATTAACAAAGTAGACTCTAAGCTTTTAATCCATCCTTCAACAATAGGCTTTAGGAACGTAACTAAATCTACAGCTACAAGTCGTAGTAGATAGATATTAGAATAACATTTAAAGCAGAATTTGATTAAATTATCTTTGGAAAAGGTTCAGGTTGTGATAACAGCCCCATTGAAATGAAAAGGCTCAGACACATCTATTGAATTAAATATTCATTTTTACAATTTATCAAGCCAGATAACAAAATACGATAGGCATAACATTTTCAATTATGTCTCTTCTTCTTGTTTGCAACTTATAAATATTTATACCTATCTTCTGTTGATACTACTGGACATGACACATTATATTATTATATCTGCCTATAATCTAGCGGTGCACGAATCCGAATGATTTTGTTATTCGAATATTTAGTACTTACTAATTTCATAAATTAACTAAAAAATATTAATATACTGTTTTCATATTCGAATAAATTAACTAATCTGTAACAACTAATTCTATTTAATATACTACTACCAAGTCCGTTTCCTAGTCCCTGTATCCACTACTACAACAAAAGGTGATGATGAGATAATACGAGTAAGTGACATGAGCGACAACCAAAAAAAGAAAAAAGACATTTCAGCGATCGGGTCGACTCGGCTACGTTCGACTACGTTTATTAATGAATGAAATTAGTAGTCGAATGATATTAGTAGTCGGATGACATTACTAGTCAGATGAGATTAGAAGTTGGATGAAATTAGTAATCGAATAAATAACATTACTAGTCAAATAATTTGAAAATCATGCGAATAATCCGAATGATTTGCTCAGTCGAATTATTAGTAGTCGGATTAGTAAAATCGCGCAACGCTACTACAAACTGTTACATAAATTAACAATTAAATTGTATTTCAAATTTCTGAGAATACTTATCTTGTTTTTTTTAAATAGGATTAGAATAAAATAAGGATCTAATAATCACTAAAATAATCTTTTTAGACACACTGTATATTCATATTTTTCATCACATGAATATATTGTAAATCGTCTTTCTATCTTTACTTATATATAATCGTTTGTACTGGACTGACTATCACCACAACAATAACTACTAAGTCTGGAAAGTTGAAATTTGAAACATAGACTTATAACACATAACGTTAACATCCGTTAAGAAAGGATTTTTAAACATTTCAACTATAAGGTTGAACATGTATGCGAAACTACGGACACCAGCAGGTTATAAATGATATAACATTAGCTTTTACTCGCACACTTCATCCGTGTGACAGGGTATGTTTACTTGCCAGGATAAAAAGCAACCTAAAAAGACATGAATATTTCTTACGTTAACTCAGAGACTCAAGCAAGCATTGAAATAAAATTGCGCTGCAGCACACAGGGTAACGTGTATCACTGTACAAATTTTTTTGATTTCCGTACTCTCTTTCGAATATTTTAGTGTATTTAGATACTATTAAAAGAGTCCTAGAAAGTCAATCTACAAATTCAAAATTTACCCTAATTTCTCCAACCTCATTACACTTTTCTCAGTAATGCGATGTGCGCTAACACATTTTGAATAACTGAGTTGACACATCCAACGCAGTAAAATGAGTTAACGCAATTGCACAAGGTGACGCAATGTTACTCAAGTCTAATCCTATGGGGGGAAATAGATTGTTAGTCTAACATCTCTATTGCTAGCAATGTACCCTATCAGGTCAACCTCCATGCGGTTCTCACTGGAAACCATCGTGGTTAATTCTCGTGGAATTTTTCACGATGAGCTAACTAACCTGCTTTCATCCTCACTTGTCACCCCCCACTGATGCCCCGCCAGCGTATACCGATAGCGCAGGTAGGCTTACCATTCCATTTTCACCCATTAAAAAAAATCCTATGTCCTTCTCTTAGATTATATAGATAGAGCATCGAATCTCAAAAACGGGTCAACTTTTTGTCAGCTTATTGTCAAATTAGCTGACTCGTTTGTTTTTTATTAATGTTCTATATACTTACGCATATAGTGTATCTTGACTTATTATTTAATACATAAAATGAGTATTTACGCATTAAAAAGATACAAAAATTACCCATAACTACATATTTATCATGCAAAATTGTATGAAAAATTTGACCCAGTTTTTTCGAAGCATTTGTATGGAGACACTCTATCTGTAATCTAAGGTCCTTCTGTATTCCTTATAATACGTCTACACTAAATTTCATGGTGATTGATTAAGCTAGTAAGCTGCTAAGAGATAACAATCTCGCGTTTACATTTATAAATAAAATTATAACTAAATATATATACATAACCAAAAATAAACTAATAAAACAAAAATAAAATAAAATAACTATATCAAATAAGTAGCTATCTACTACATTATCTGTAGTACAGATTATGTTGATAAAGGTATACTTTTAACGGTTATATTCTACCAGCGTACATTCACGAGACGCCTTATGAAAATAACATGAGATGAATAACGTATTTTGAACTTAATGAAAAAATAACTGAGTTTTGTCGAAATTATCACAGAAACCCTCTATAATTGAAATTAATAACAAAGAAACACTCAATGATTTAATCTATATTTGATTTACACTAATATTGAACATCAGCAGACTATCTTATGGTCGAATCAATAATGACTGGCCAAAAAGGACTCGTATTTTCATTGTTTATATATGTATCTATTTCTTTATTTCACCATTACTTCTAAATGTCTGAACAGATTTAAATATATTTTACTGAACTAAGTGTTATATTGCGGAAATCCATATAACTAGTTATTTGATTAGAATTCTTTTGTTTAATTCCGCTACCATTAGTATGTATGCGACTACCAACACTCGAATATTAACTACTATTATTATTAGCCATCAATCTCCGACTGTCATTTCGTCTACGCACGTTTTGCGACACGTATACCATAAAATTTCTAAATTCTCAGGCAAAAAATTATATATACGGAGTATCATTGGAATCCTTATCATCCAGAATGACATTAGAATTAAGTATACATATATTTTTAAGTCTATTTTTGCCAGAACAGTCGTGGTTTTTAATTTGCCAAGCAAAATGTACTTGTTCCTTTAATTTACATTTTCATTAAGTTCTATTGATATTCTATTGTAATTGTAGAAACAAGAGGCTTCGGTACTCGTAATATATATATATATATATATATATATATATATATATATATATATATACGGGCCCATAAGCTACTTAGCAACCTGACCTGAAGAGTTAATTAATATGCATTATCTTCTTTATTTTTACTTCAAAGTTACAGATACTTGTTTAATTCTTAAATTTTAAAGCATTTTATCGCGATTTCATGAACGACGTTCATGCATCATCTAACGCCATCTAGTTACACTATCCCTAATTAAATTTAACCCATTGTTTAAAAATATCAAAATATCATCATAATTCTAATTTTTCATCATTATTGACATTAAAACTTAAGTCCGATCCATTATAATTTTTTGTGATACATTCTTAGTGAAACGAAACGAACTTCGAACGAACGAGTGAAAAATATTGCATTTGCAAGTCTAGTACGATCCCTAATCTATGGCAATGGCGTTGGTAATGACCGCATATTTGAAACATATCTATTGATTTCAAATACGTACGATACGTTCCTACGTACATTGTAACAATATCATTGTATTACGTTATCTTTTGTGAACTGTGTGTTACTCTTGATATCTATACGACAGCCAATCAACCGTAGATCGTAGAAAGAGAATGCAATTTTTTTACAAGTGATTTTCGATATCGTTTGATATATAGATATTGGACAGGTATGAAACCGATATTGTATTTATTTATATACCATTTATGTCACTATACCCAGTACACTTATACACTAAGATATCAAAGATTAAAGTCCAATGAGAATATATGTCTCATGGGTCTCGTGTATATCATATGCATCACGTATGACGCATTATCTACAAACATGACATAGTGGGAATCAAGGTTATGGCAGCTATGACACAGCCAATATTATCAGATAATATCTTGGCACTCGACTCAAGAAGTAAAATAAGTACAACAGTTCATTCATATCCGCGAACATTCATAGCGCCAAATGAACATCCAAATATACAATTATGTAAATAATGTATATAAATACATGAAAGATAGGCACTATTTCTGTCGCTAAGATAATTTCACAACTAAACCATAAATATTAAAAAAAAAGATAATTTTATAATTATTGTTTGTATTTAATAGCAATATAACGTAACAATATCCAAGTGCATTTATTCTTTTAATAATATTTTAACTAATTTTATATTACTGTTTGTAATAGGGTAATGAAATTTAATGTAAGTTAATAATTTAAATTTACAGAACATCTATCAAAATGCCGCTTGTAACTATTGAGCAAGGTGCATTGCAAGGCATGGTATGTGATCATGACGGAAGAACTTATGTTGCTTTCAATGGTATACCTTACGCGAAACCACCAATTGGAAAATTGAGATTCAAAGTAAGTACCAACGTACAAGGTGAAATTAAGAACATAACATAGATTAAGAATAGTATAATACCCTTAATAATAAAAACACCCTTTCTACGTTTCCAAAACTATTGAAAACCTATTTTCTAACATGTAGGCAATTTTGTTAATCTTACAGAACACAGTTCAAGCCGTCGTATAAAAACATGTAAAAACTTGTAAGGATTTGAATATTTGAATAGAATATTATGTAGTTTATATTTAGCTAAAATAATAGTGTAGGTACTGAAATCGATTATTAAACATCTGAAGTACCGTTCCCGAAAATACGAAAGTACTGACATATTACCATACGGATTACAAAAAAAATTATTTCAAGTAGTTCTGCCGAAGCAATTCTCTTAATTTAGTTATAGATATTAATCCTTAGAATAATTATCGCACTGAAATATCAGACTATATAGTTTTAGAGATGAGTAACCTATGGGGCTCCAGGATCCAACCCATTATTAATTATATGAGTAATAGCGGGTAAATTTAAAAACTCGCGAAAGCGTTTCTTTGAGGATGTATGGACCGAAATTATTAAACTAATTAAACGCCAAACCAAATTATATTATTAATTTATTAAAAATTTTAATTTGACAAAATCTGTTTTTTTTTTTATAATTATCTATTAAAGTAGAAACGTTACATTATTTAAATATATTCCATTCACCAATGCAGACATTCGCACTAATTCTTAATTAATTCTGCTTTAATATATATGATTATATATATGAAAAAAAAAAACAGAATTTGTTTTTTAAAACACTAATCTTCATCTGAAACTAACTACCAGTCAGATTTAAAAATTCTTTTTGAATTTGATCTTATTTCTTGAGGAAGGCTATTTATTCAACATCACGATACGATCATGGACAAAGTCACGGAATACAACTAGTCGTACCTATAAAGATCAATATGTAAAAACAAGTGTAATACCCAAATTGCTACGAGTACGTAGACGATGTTTTACAGATTTAGGTTTTTATAAGAATACAAATATTTTTATTACTCGTATTAGGTACCCATTTGCTACAAAATAGTCTATTAAATCATGTAAAATACTTTACACATAATTAGTTTTGACTAACAATTATAAAAATATATGTATAAAAATAAAAATTTACCATAGGTATTAAATTTCGTACACAGGCACCAGAACCTCCGGAGCCATGGGAAGGAGTTCGTGACGCAACACAGCATGGCCCCACCTGTCCCCAGTACAATGAACGCATGAACCGCATCCAAACCGGCACAGAAGACTGTCTTTATTTAAACGTTTATATAAAAACGCTTACACCTAAACGGCCCCTTCCCGTCATGGTATGGATTCACGGCGGAGGCTTTTACACCGGCTCTGGAGACTCGGACTTCTACGGGCCTGAATTTTTCATGATGCACGATATTATTCTAGTCACTTTTAATTATAGATTAGAAGTTTTGGGATTTTTATGTCTAAACAATGAAGAAGTTCCAGGTAACGCTGGTTTGAAAGATCAAGTGGCTGCATTGAAGTGGGTAAACAAAAATATAGCAGCCTTCGGAGGCGACCCTAATAATGTTACCATATTTGGTTGCAGTGCAGGCTCGGGTTCGTGTTCCTTACATTTAATATCAAAGATGAGTAAAGGATTATACCACAAAGCCATACTACAAAGCGGTGTTTGCCTTAGTGAATGGTGTTATAACATTTATCCAACAGAAAGAGCATTTCAACTCGGGAAACTATTGGGGAAAGAAACGGAGGATACTACAGAATTATTAGAGTTTTTTAGAAACTTACCAACTTCATCTCTAGTTAAAATTGAATTACCAATCTTGGAAACAAAAGTTTACGATTTAGCTGACAATATTTTCTTCGGGCCAGTAATAGAAAAATCAGATCTAAATGTAGATAATTTTTTAACTGAACATCCTTTGGATTTAGTCAGAAAAGGTGAAATAGCAGACGTACCTATTATACTAGGCTACACATCCGGCGAGGGGATCGAAATAGCCCGGCAACTACCAAAATTAATTCCTTTTCTGAATACGACTGGCGCTGTTGTGCCGAGAGAATTGAAATTAAAATGGCCGATACATAATCTTATAGAAACTGATAAAAAAATTCGCAACCACTACTTTGAAGGAAAAGATATAACAGAAAAATCATTACAAGAAGTAGTAAATCTTGAATCTGACAAACTTTTTATTTATAACATAGTTAGATTCGCCCGATACCATAGCTATTATAATTCAAGCCCTGTATATTTATATAAGTTTGTTGCAGAAACAGAGAGAAATTACGCTAAAAAGAATTATAATATGGAATCAATAGATGGAGTTTGTCACGCAGACGAACTGCCTTACTTGTTTAATGTTACTTGCCTTGATATCCCACTGTCTGAGGAATCAGTACATATAATAAAGGACTTCGTCAATTTATGGACTAATTTTGCAATTACAGGGTGAGCATTTTCTTTTTTTTTTTTTTTTTTAATGTACATTTTTAATTATCCTATTCTTAATAAATAAATACCACAAACTAACAAAACTTTTGTATAACTTATAGTTTGTACTAAAATAACTAATAGACATACTTAAATATATATTTTTATAAATACTGTAAATACTAAAAAACCAATACAAAAATACTCAGTTTTTTTTTTATATTCTGGGAAGATAAAATGCATAATCACCAGGTGGGGTAGTCCCTATAGCCACTACGCCATAAAGTCGTCTATTGCAGGAAACCCTTTAGTGACCAATAATAATATTTTTAATGTACACAATAGTCATATTATATGGTTTATTCTGAAATCTATCCTTCTATAATGATTTATTATCTTTTCAGTAACCCAACACCATCTAATAACAGTATACAATGGAAAAACTTCACGGATAGAGAACGCAACTGTTATCTTATTGGAAAAAGCCTTACATGTGTACAAAACGATAATGAACAAAATAATAAATTTTGGGAAGCAATCTACGAGGAAGCTGAACTTGACATAAACTGATAAAATCATCACTGAATGTGATAATTTTATTAGTACATGGTTGTTGTATTTTTGTGCCTATTTACTCTTAATAATCAGTCATAAAAATGCTTATGAACTGAAAAAGTTAATAATAATGTATAATATAACACTGCTGTAATCCAGTGATTTACAAAACATCACAAATTTTGTATAGAATAATAAATGCGAGTAGGAGCTCGTTTAGTCAATTTTAATTTATATCTAAAATAAAATGGAAGTACTTAAGTAACTAATCTGTATTATTATTTATAACAATACCCACATCATTTTAGGTATTAACTTTGTCAGCAATATTTAATTTTAAAATTTCGCGTTGTTTACACCTATTTTAAATACACTATCGAGACTTAACGCGATGTAAAAGCTTTTACAGGTAAATAGTACCTACATACCTGCTTCTTTATTGCCGACGTTTCGACGTTGTACAATCCACGTCAAAACGTTTTTACATCGCGTTAAATCCCGATTGTGTATTTAAAATTTGTCACCAATTTTGTTGTAACATTTGAAAGCGTATGTTCTATCCTTAACCTATTGTCCCTCTCGAGATGAGACGACTGCATTACGTGTCAGTTTTTAGAACGAGGAATGTTTAATATTTGAGAATGATTATCGAAAAAAAAATGGCTTTCATTTATCATTTAACAGTTTGTAAATATGTAAGTCTCTACAAAAATTTGGTAACATGATGATATTTCATTATTACTTTTAAATTCTCCAAATATTACCGCCAAATTCCAATACGTGATATTTTCACTATAATTTTATTACATAATTAATGTTTTATATTGCTCTAAGTGCAGTTAATCTTAACCGGCGTAATTATGATCACTTGGTGTTAATAAATTTTACAGTTCATACGAAATCGTTTAATATAGACTCGGATATTAAGTGCAACTAATATTTTGTTTCTGTTATTAAATATTATAGGTACTACGCACTATGTTACATAAGGTAAATAGACAATATTATTTGAACAAAGTTATTGCAGAATTACATAGTACTTACCCCAGGATTAGAGTGAAACTTAATAAAGACGTGTAAAAGTAATTATACACCTTTTTAAGCGGCCAGTTCAAAAAATATTAAATACATGAATACGCAACATGAAGACCCTAAGAATGGACCCAACAGATGTCATATTCTTTACTGGAAAAAAAAATATGGCTAGTATGCAATAATATATAAAGGCATATATACACAAATTAAAGGTAAAATTAATAAATAGGTAACAATACAAATGAAGGTAATTTTAATTGTGTTTACAAACTATAATAGAACGTAAGAACTGTTTGATTTGGATCTTACTGTTAAATATCTGTTGTAAAGATACTGATACTGCAAAGAAGCGAGATCTTTTATGATACCTATCAGTACCAATATTTTGAAGACGTTTAATAACTAGTAACACTACGAATATTCATTTACTTTTTACCATTGATACCTATGACGGTCGAAATAAACTCATGCTCCTATTTCATCAATTACTCCTTACTCAACTCTTGTATTTATTTATTAATATATGTATTACTAACATTATAATTTTTACTATTATTAAATAAAGTAGTGATTACCGATCTTTATTGACCACAATGAGGAGTATCTGCCCGGCTAAAGATCTAAGCTGAGCTCCTTATGTTGTACAATAAAAATAATAATAAATACACCACTTGATTCCAACGTAGCAGGGTGACGAGCTAATTATACAATTGAATAAAACCAATATCCAAATTCTTACGTATAATTATTAATACACTTCTTATTACAATATTAAAATACCACAATAACGCACTAATCAAGAGTAATCACAATACAATTATATATTCGACATAAAATTAATAGAAAACCAATTTAATTTTAATGCTTTCTCAGAGTGACTTATGCGTTATTGCAATATGCATATCAATAACCTCAATACACTGTGAACACGCAAGCTGTTTCCTTTCACTATTTAGGTGACTTTAAAAATGCTATATTATAAAATTTATGTAATTTATATAATAATAAAAAAAAGTTTACTCCATTATTCTTTTTATACTATGATGTAGTTAATTATTTAAAACAAAAAATTCAAGGTTTAACCGCCAATATCTCCTAACATAGACAAAATTTTACAGCAGATATGGAATACATCCCAATTCTGAATTTATTCAAAGATAAAATTAAAAAGTGACATTGTTGATTTTAATGATTCTCAACATATTAAAATAAAAATTATTTATCTTTGTAATATGTAAAAAAGAAAGTTACACATTCTTTTAGCTAAAAAAAACTATGTAACTATTTTTCAATGCCAATTAGGTGGTATCGGTAGTTAAACATACAATTATACAAAATTATGATTTACAGTGGACAGAGGAATTAGTATTTTGTAGTACTCACTACACAGAAAATAAAAAATACTTTATGACAACATTTTTGAGCTTGCACTACATAGTTACGACCTACCTGTGTGTAATAGTCCGTTCAGCACAAAACCAACATATAAATAAGAATGGAATCAACACTGTCAGTCCGTTTTTTCTTCCGTGACTCCATCCCTCACAAATAAATTTGAATCAGTAAGTTGTATCTCGTAGATCCGACAAATTTAATCTATCATTTTATACAAGTGGCAAATGATTATATTTGTACATATGTTAGACTATCATAAGCATAAGATTAGCTAGTCAACAACATCTCTCATCTAACTTATTAGTATAAACAGATCTACAAATAAATTCATTTACCAATTGTTTAAATACTTGAATGTAGTAATGAATCACTAGAACGCGTTCACGGTGTCTGCATGAGTTGGGTGACGCTGTTGTCGCGGCTGTCACAGAGGGCGCGGTCAGTAACGACCAGAGCGTGAGTTGCGAGGCGGCTCGCGACGACGATCGCGCGATCGCGAGCGACGGCGGCGTTCGCGCGATCGGCTACGTGACCGCCGCCCGCCTTTACGTCGCGAGTACAAATATCTGTAAGAAACACACCGTTTAAATAACACATTTAAAATTCTGGCATTGTACTCTAGCTGGATGAGATCATGACAACATGCTATCAAAAGTGTAATGTTTCTAATACCGATAGTAATAAGAGAGCTCAAAAAATTATAATATTTTAATTTTGGATATAATTATCAAAGTTGGCTAGTGAATGTTATTTGCAGTAGTATAATTAAAAAATACTTGCCTTCTAAGTTCTCTTGAGATTGGTTTAAGATGCATGAAATTGCAAAAGCCACTCCGCGTGCACTCTCCCATTTCGTACTGACGGCAGCAAGCCTCGCGGAAATCGGTGACGGGGGATAACTCGGCGTATACTGGTCGACCACCGAACCAACGATTGTTCAAATCGTTCACAGCCTTCTCAGCATCCTCTTCACGTCGAAACTGAAATTCAATATTTGATAATATTAAATTATGCACAAATATAGGCTCTTTTATTGCCGATATATTGATTTCTAATACTACATCTATCTTTATTGTAATTATTTATATCGACTTTACTACATAAAAGATTTTTTCCACAGAAAGTTTTATTTTGTATAGTTTCTTCATATACAAATTTCAATTACAAATTATAAATATTATATAAAAGATTGTAACTTACTTTAATGTATACATTCCCAACTAAGTGATCACCGAGGTTATCGCACACATTCATTTCCTCTATTTCACCATATTTATCTTCACATTCCACAAACACATCTTCAAAAAAATTGTCATAGTGTTCTTGCATTTCTTCATCTGACACATTTGCTACGACCACTGTAATTGAGTGTAGAAATTATATTTGTTTGTCATTTTATTAATTTTCATCATATTTAAAAATATAGAATAAAAAAAAGAAACAGTATTTACTAAAGTAAATACTGTTTCTTTTTTTATAATGTGACTTGGCATGTTATAATTAAAAATGGTTAGCAGGCACCTTTAGATTATGATAATCATTTACCACCTGACAATTTGTACATTCACAAATTGGTTGCAAAAAACATGTTTGGTATAAAACATACATATGTACACTATTCTTCTAATGGACGTTTTTATTCACTTCTGAGAAACTTCACGATATCATACGTTTTTATCTTCATGATACAATGGGGTAGTAAAATGTGTGCATTTTTATAGAAATACTTTTAAGTATTGCGTATAATAAAACCTTTCCGTGTCAGACCTAGGCTCTTCTATAAGATTGTCGCTAAAAAGACATGCAATATCGTGAAAGTCCAGGGGAAAGTATGAAAACTTCCAATATCACATTTCTTCAGATGAGGTAAGTCCAAAAGATGTAATAAAAACAAAATGCTAGCACTATTTAAATGATGTCACTGTCTTATCTAGTTCTAAGACGAAACAGTAATACATATTGTTGGTATAAATTTTGCGCATTACCACACCTTATTCCCTAATTCTGAGGATTAAGACCACATGAGGATTGTTATGACAAGACACTAATTATGATATAGTAGTTCATATCTAAAGTGAAGGTTTTCTATCAGATGATCCCTCAGCTAATTTAGCATTTTCAGATTGATTCTTTTTTATATTCTGAAATAGCTTTCATTAATAATTGATTCATATAAATTACATATTTACAAATAAAATTATGAATACCAACAACATATGACTCCCTATATGACTACTCAAAATGTGTAAGCTTAAAGAAGCGGTTTCACATTTGAGTCTCATACTAAAGTTTTTCAATGTCTGCATTATCCATCAATTTTCAAAAACAATATATACTGTAGAGGCTTGATTACCCAGATCTCAGTTATATGTATTCTCTATTATCCAGATCATCAACAGCAATCAAATAACTTTGTAGAAAATATGTATGTAGCTAAGTATATTCATAGGTAGAAAAATCAATGTATAATCCCTTAATAAATATTGATTTTGATTAGTTTTCCTCATTTTGAATATATATTTGTATACAAACAAGATAAGCCATTTTTCTAGATTTAAGAATATGTACAAAAATCATTTTTATTAAATTAAAATAGTACATTTAATAATCAAGATTTTTTATTATCTGCATGTCTTTGACAACAATGAGTTTGATTAAGTTTATACTGTAATATAAAGTAAAATGTAGTGACTTTCTAAAATCTGCCCTAAACATCTATTAAAATACAAATTGCATATATTTTTATCAATAAAAATTATTTCAATTTGTTTGTATTCTAACAGAATAGCTGATTTAGTTCATCTTGCAATATAAATCCTCTTAAATTTAAAAGATGTTGTGTTAAAATCAATGAAGATACTAACAATGACTGCCATCAGCGGATTTAGCAGAATTTTGTGGATTTACATATAAATTTTGTAGTAGAACAGTTTGTGAAAATGTTGGTTTATTGTGAATACGGGAACAGCGATCCCCATGTCGACATGCTCCAATTTTAAAGTAAAAGGAGCAATTAACTCTGAAAACACAAAGAAAAAATGTTATTATAAAATAACAATAATAACACAATTAATAGAAATATATAGTCCACAAATAAAATTCTCCTTATAATGTGTACAAGTATGTTATCAACAGATCATATTAACAACAATATTATCTTAAATTAATCTATGGTGTGGACTATTAAAGTACTAAATTTCATGCACATCTGTTCAGCTGTTTAAAATTTAATTTGAAGTTAAAAACTAACACAGCAGATACATGTATTTGCAGCCTATTGTGAAGAAAATAATGCATAATATTCTGATTTTTCCTAAACATATTAAAATCCAATGTAATGTGCGGCAAGTTTACTAAGAGATAAATATTAATATAGTAAATTAATTTAATAAAGGTATTGTTGTATATGTATTTTGCAGTCCTTGTACTACAACGATTACAAACAAACCAATTAATTTCGTAATGTAATAAACGTATTGACCTCAATTATATTTGACAAAATATGGAAGGTCAGTATTTATTCGTCAGTAATTAATACATAGTCAAGGAATTCATAGTGAATACAAATTATTTAAAGTGGATCTAATGAAAAAACAAGGAGCCGTCATTAAACAAGTGAGCATTTAGTAGACTTACTGTAAGCCATAGGCGTTAGGACTAACACCAAATGAAATAGTATTATTTCTTACGTTTCAATACGCTAGTGTTGTGAAAAAAAACACTACAAAATACAATTTTAAACTCACTTGTCCTTTTCAGTACCAAATATAGCAGCTAGGTACTCTGCCATTCTCGAACGCCGAAAACGACAAAATATAACCTAAAACTACAGCGGTAACAGCGTCAACGTTCAGAAAGAGATAATTAAATACAACCCGGTTTCGAGCACATTAACACAATAAACATAATTAAATCGTGATAAAATTCTAGCACATATTTTTGAAAATGCAGAAGGTAAAACAAGACTAAAAGAAAGACAAGCAAATCAAAAAATACATTCAATCTTTAGTAAAATGTATAACCAAGAGATAAGAGAGGGCACTTCATACAAGCTACATAAACCGACTTGGTCAGGAATATCCTACCAATCTACACAAAAATACTCCTTTTTTCATTATGTTGACCAGCCTGATGTTCTAAATGGAAACGAATAGGGTTTTTAGGGGTCAATGTTAATAAAATGTTAAAATTTCTCATTGAAACGCAAATCCTGTAATAAAAGAGATATATAATATGCTTAAATATTAAAATATATTCATTATAGATTTATATATATATATATATTGTAACTTTTGCATTAGAACATAGATTAGCAATTATATAGTAAACGAGCTCACCGTAAGTATATATATAATATTTAATATATATATATATATATATGGTTAGAACATATATATTAGATATTAATAAGAAAAAATCAAGAAAGCATTATAGCAATAAAAAGTTGCAAAGTACACAATTACATAACTTCGATAATTTAGCAAAAAATATCCATGAATATTTTAATCTTAGTAATATTAATGAGAAACCCAGTTCGGTGCAAGAAGAATATAATGCCTTTATTAGAAAGATTAAAGTGTCGGTCCAAAAAACTGTAAGCACTTCGAAAAGCTCGTTATCAGAGAAAGCATATGAACTAATACAAGAAAGAAAACTCCTGTTAAAATTACGACGGGACAAAGCTCTTAACAAAAAGATTACTGACATTAGTAAGAAAATTACAGTACAGCTACGGAAAGACAGGAAAATGAGAAGGTTAGACATTATTAAAAGACATATTGAAAAAACTGGAGGAGTAAAAAAGGCTATAAAAGAACTAAAAGAATATAAAGTATGGGTACCAAGTCTGATAAATAATAAAAAACAAAATACAGGCAAGAGACGTAAAATTATAAATATAGCAACTGAATTTTATAAAGATTTATATACATCCCATAAAATTAGTAATAAATTAACTAAAGAAGAAAATAATTATCAATGTAGGCAAGAAGAACCAGTACCAAAAATATTAGTAAGAGAAACAGAAAAGGCCATCCTTAATCAAAAAAATGGAAAGTCACCAGGAGAAGATCAAATTACAAATGAGCTCCTGAAATGTTCGCTGCCTATAATTGCACCACAACTAACAAAATTATTCAATCTGATTTTAGAAACTGAAGAGATCCCCATACAATGGACTGAATCTGTAATTACATTAATACACAAGAAAGGAGATAAAAACGATGTAAATAATTACAGGCCAATTAGTCTTATGAGCCACATTTACAAAGTATTTTCCAAGGTACTTTTAAACCGTATGACCAGAATATTGGATGAAAACCAGTCAAAAGATCAAGCTGGTTTCAGAAGCAATTATAGCACTCTAGATCACATACATACAGTTAAACAAATTGTAGAAAAATACAATGAATACAGCCTAGATTATTACCTGTGTTTTATTGATTATACTAAAGCATTCGACTCCTTAGAACATGAGTCCCTATGGGAGGCTTTACGGATGCAGGGTATAGAACTCAAATACATAAGATTATTGCGTAACATATATTATAAGAGTACAGCAAAAGTAAGATTAGAAAGAACAGGACAACCCTTTCCTATACAAAGAGGCGTTAGACAAGGGGATCCCATCTCCCCTAAACTATTCACAACTGTACTAGAACAGATATTACGAAAAATGGAGTGGACGCATTATGGTTTGAATATAAACGGCGAGTATTTGACACACTTACGATTTGCGGATGACATAGTTCTTCTCACAGACAGCTCTGAAAACTTGCAAATCATGGTTCAAGAACTAGCAAATGAGAGTATGAAAGCTGGACTGTCTATCAATATCAGGAAAACAAAGGTATTAACAAATGGCATACACAAAAACATAACATTGAATGGAAAACGCATTGAATATGTTGAGGAGTATTTATATCTGGGCCAAATAATCTCTCTTGCAAATGACACAAACAAAGAGATTGACAGGAGAATCGCCAATACATGGAATAGGTATTGGTCATTAAAAGAGATTATGAAAAACAAATATATATATGAATGACAAAAAGAAAGTGTTTGATACATGCATATTACCTTGTCTTACATATGGGTGTCAAACATGGCCATTAACTGAAAGAAATCTTAAAAAATTAAAAGTATGTCAAAACAGCATAGAAAGAAGTGTCTTGGGCATTAAAATAAAGAATAGGGTTAAATTAGTAGAAATTAAAGAGAAAACAAAATTCAAAAATGTTATTTATACAATAAAAAAATTAAAATGGAGATGGGCAGGACATATTATGCGAGAAAAAACACAAAAATGGACAACAACTGTAACAGACTGGTACCCTAGAATAGGCCAAAGAAGACAGGGAAGACCACTGACACGATGGGTTACAGATATAAAAGCAGTAGCAGGTGCATTTTGGACAAGGATAGCCAAAGACAGAATAGAATGGAAGACTCTGGAGGAGGCCTTTGTCTTTGGACAAGAGAGGGGTGACAGAACAGTTACTGATTGAATATTATTTACATTGAATTGTTTATTATGTTACTTCTTTAATAAAGGCTTATATTATTATTATTATTATTTATATATATATATATATATATATATATATATATATATATATTATTGCAAACACAAATTTACTACGCGGATGTACCTGTCGAAGTTTTCTATTTGAATATTTGGTCTTTTACAATTTTTTTTATACAACTTAGAATGGCAAACAAGCTGACGGCCAACCTGATGGAAAGTGGTAACCGTCGCCTATAGACATGAGCAGTACCATGGACATAACAGAGTATACTGTTTCGCCCATGATACCCCCCATGCGTTGCTATTCCTGAGGACTCAGGTGTTATTCCTCTGTACCCAGTAAATTCACGCCATATCCCACCCTTCAAACCGAAACACAACCATGTAAACTCAACTGCTTCACGGTTGAAACACGATTATACTAATAGTATAAAATAACACAAAATATACAGTATGAGAAGAATCAACATTTTACCTGTTCGGTTAAATTATCCGAATCCATTTTGTTTGTATTTGACACTATTTTTGTTAGTTAAGTTGGCACTATTGTGATTTCATCATTTAACTAAACGTTGGCATGTTGATTTCTGATCAAATCTATATATTTAAAGGTAGTATGGAAGTTACGCAAGTTTCACTGATTAAAGAGACTACAAAAATTGTATTGATAATAATTGTATGTCTAAAGACAGCGTTTGTTGACCACAGATCAGATCCACAGAACTTATTAGTTAAATAACTGCGCGGCTGCATTCTATCGAATTTTATTCTCACCGCAATAACAATTAAGTTGAATGCTCCAAATTTTTTTTTATTTTTTTTTATTCATAAGAATATGTAAATGTAGACTTTTTGCTTAAACCATTCTATGGTACTGAAGCTTTCCAGCTGTAAAACTCATTTTATGGGTAATTCATTTGCATTCTATACTGCACAGCTTTTAGAACAAACTTCCCATGGATATTCAGAATAGTCCCATTCCCATGGATATTAATAATAGGATATCAAGTCCTTCAAGAAAAGATTAAAATCACACTGTCTTTTCAATTTCGCTTGAATACTTTCTCACTACTTACTACTCTTACTTTCTACTGCCCACTGGAAGACATCTCTTTTAGAGATAAGTTCACCTTTGCTAACTTTTTTACTACACGTACAAATATACTTAGTGTAAGATATACTATATTATACACAAAAATGAGAATAATATGTATACTTTCAGCTCGGATAAAGTATAAAAATGAGCATAAACTTTTTTTTATTTTCTTAACGGTAAAGCTAGAAAGTAAGTACTAGCCTCCTATAAATTGACGAAAATAGTAAGTGATAGTGTATCTTTCGTCCTCTTTTTACTAATTATATTTGCATAAGAAGAAAGAAGGCAATCATATGATTTAGTTTTTATTTTATTATTCCTTCTATGTAATTTCTTGTTCTTAGGTATTTCCTTGTTCTTATAAAAGAATTATTTAAAAAAAGCTATCAGACTGTCATTGTGACAATAAATTAAAAAAAAAAAAATACTACTGTCACTTTGTTACTCATCATTTCTTGTTACCTATGTAGGTGCTCTGTATTCTGTGATGGTTTAAATTTGGTAGTGATTCGTGATGGTGTGGTCGAAAGTTTATTAATTTTTATAAAGTGTTGTGTGTGAGAATTAACACGTTAGATTATCATTTAATTTTTATACTATTAATATATTTTCATTTAAACTAAAACGTGTTTATTGATAACTTTCATGACAACCTCCACATTAACTTCAAATTAGATTTGCCGAGCCTTGATCACAAATTGTGACAATGTCTTACAATTCCACGCTTGACGGCTTCTGTGGATCTAAGTTTTGGGTGAGTAGGCCTTTAGCCGCAATAATTTTAACTTGTCTACTTATCTAACAATTTTTTACTTAAAATTTTATATTAATCAGAAGTAAGTTAATTTTAATTCCACGTTAAGTCCCATTTGTGTATATAAAATAATCAGAAATTATTCGTCAGGTGTACTGTCTTATTATTTTTAAATTTAAAATAATTATTAATAATTTCTAATTAAATATATTAAAAAAAATAACTAACGTTACATACATTATTATATATTTTTATGCCTAATCCCATATAGGGTAGATTTAGAGAATCGAGTTTATGTTACTACTGTAAGGCTACTAACTAAAAAAGTACTAAAACATATAATTATAAATTAACTATCTTTAAACACAATTGTAAGGCAATTTACTACTAGTAGGTAAATGGTATGTATTAAATATAAAAAGCTAAACTCAAAGTAAGTTGGTAATTTTTTGTATTCATATAATAACCTATATAAAAATACTACTGTAAAAAAACCTGCTTTGCTTATTAATCTTATGGGATAAAATAATAATAATTTTCATTACATTATTAGTAGTGAGATTAAACTTTTAATTTGGTGATAGATTTTTGAAGTTTCAGTTTCAACAGAGAATTGCCTGAAACAATAACCAAATCTGAAACTACTTTGAAAATTTATTTTAAGTACTACCTTGCTCTGATAGAAATTTTTTGTGGACCCTTCTCTCTCACATAATAAATAAATAATTCTTTTGAAAGTTACCAGGACCCACTTTTTATATTTTACAATTTACTACAATTGTAACTATAGTAAGGTTCTTTCTTTCAACATGCAATTCAACACAATGGTTCATGTATAAATAATCCAGCCTACTTGCTAACATGACCAAAATGCAGTTGTGACTGGTCCACACTCTGCGGAGCAGTGAAACAGATTCTTTACGAATATTGGTATAGAAAAAATCCACATGCACTTCTGCAAACATTCCTGATACACTGTAGAATCAAGACAGCCCAAACAACACACAATGCATTATTATATTGTACTCTTAGAGTAATGTATGATTAGTATATGTTGCCCACAGTGTGCTGGTATAAAATGATGTGCAAAATGCTTGAAACAAAGTGACTTTTGCCGCATCTGAACAATGTGTAAACCTCCGAGCAAGCATGTTTGCTTGTAAAGATAATATTCTCATTCTATATTTCTCTTTAGGGTTAACAGTTAGAAGATGCCTTAAATATTCAAACTTTTCAACTCTTTTAAGAGGAACTCTAGATAAAATAATATGTAGAACAAACACTGGACCTTTACCGCCAGCCTAAAACATGTATTCATTCTTAATACTATTGTATTGGAGACCATGATCTTTTGCCTAAGATTCATAGCTCCATAGTATTTATCTTATGCTATGGATAGACACACTCAACAAAACCATGTCATCTGTATAGCTTAAATTATTAACACAGACTTTGTATCAGTCAATATGCTGATTGCTGAGTAGCTCGATCAATGCATTTATATATATTAAAAACTGTGGGCTAGGTGAGTCCACTCTATCTCACACCACACTCCAAGAGGTACAGATCTGAATGTACTCTCATCCAGCATACATTTACCTGGTTTGCATACTAGTATTTAAGAGTACTTATGAATTCAGGAGATAACTGCATCTCATGCAATTTTCGCTACAAGATATGCAACAAACCAGATAGAATGCTTTGTAGAGATATATAATAGTAGACATCTTGAAGTTTATACCTTATATAAGAATTACCTTTTTTGATATGCTTATACAAATACTTTACAGCAAGTCATAGTTTCACATGATTTTGTATTTATTACACTTTTAACTCTACTATCTATCCAATCACCGCCGGAGTCCCGCAGGGCTGCTGCATATCGCCATGCGCTCTAGGTGACGTACAATATTCCCACCTTGAGGGATGAGCTCCTCCAGGGAGAAAGAGATTAGATCAATTAAATAATATCACTATGTCCTGCTGTATAAGCATATAAGGTGTTATATAAAACATTACATTACATTATTATATAATAAAACATATTAAGGCGCATTATTTGTTCCTGACCTTAGGCCTTAGGCTTACTCTTTTCCTTTTTTTCCCCGCTACCCGCTAAGAATTATTACGGTAACCAACAGTATTTCATTGTATAGAGTTTCGCCACTGTTTGCTCCAAAGATTTTTTAAGAGACTCAATGTCGCCGCGTCGTTTAGACTAGACCATGTCCTCTAAAACGGACAATAATTTAAAGTCTAAGGGGTTGAGGTCTGGGCTAGATGAGGGCCAGTCTTCAGCTCTTTATAAAGTCCGGAACGTTGGTTTCAAGCCAGGCTTGGGTAGATTGTACCTTGTGACCATGTGCAGAGTCCTACTGGAAAGTCTGATGATTATTGAAGTATTGCTGAGAGGTTTCACAACACGATTCAAGGCTGTATCTTGATGCACTTTGGCTGAAGTTTTTACTCTTTTTTCACAAAAATGTAGTTTTGTGACTCTTTGATAAGACAGGCCCACCAAACCAAACCATCACTGACCCTGCGTCAGTGATGGTTTGGTTTGATGACCACGTTGTACCTTTCCGACCACTTGAGCAGCTTCTTTAGAACTGTGAGCGTACACTTTATTATTTTGCTTATTGTAGTGTTCTTCAATCGTTAAAATTTTCATCGGTAAAGAGGATATTTCACCTTCGTATTGCGACAGAAGGCGTTTTGATTGATCTCTTTAATTGTAATGATTTAGGGCACGCCCTGTATATTGACGATAAACACTTAGCTTCAGGTCTTTTTTATAATACGCGACAGAGTCCTAACGGGAATCTTCATTTCCCGCGATAAGATTTTTTGCTTCCTAGGGTAAGTGTGGGTATTACTGCGAATTTTCTTATTTTAATTATTAATAAATGGGTTATGACTTTTTTGATTAAAAAAAAATATTTCTGTTACTTTAAACCTTTAAAAAAATAACTCCATAATAGTTTTATACGTATGACAATTATTCAATTTGTTATTAATTAATAAAAATTAAGTAGTTACAGAGGTGAATAATTAAAGGTTTTTTGACAGCTTCAGTGCGAAAAGAGGTGGTCGTAAAAAGTCATTTTCTTTCTATAAATGACCTAATATTTATATATTTTATATTTAGAAGTTAGATAACCCTTTTTTAGAATCAAAAATTTAACAATAATTACATTTTGATCACGCGTGAAACCGCGTGTACGTGTATTACTGCGGACGTAAACGCGGATATTCTAACCTCTAAATAAGTGCGTGAATCAAGTTGTTTTGAACTGGAAAATAAACTATGGATATAATTCATTATTCTATGGTGGAAACTATGGATATAGTAATTATAATTAATTAATAAATTTTCAGAATCTTTCCAAAAACTATGTTATTGGCCTAAATGTGACTTGTCAAATTACAAAAACGAACCAATAGTTATTCTCAATTCCCATCTGTTTTATAAAGCTCTCAGTGGCAAGACATTCAAGAAACGAAGAAAAATCAAAAACATTTAAAAGTAGAAGAATTAATTTAAAGAAAAAAGTAGAGCAACAGGAGATAAAAAAGCAAGAAAAAGAAAAAGAACGTACTCGAAAGAAGGAAGCAAGACTAAAGAAAGAACAAATAAGATTGTAAAAACAAAGAGAGAAGTTCGTTAAACAACAACAAAAAATTAAAGACGTTGAGGCTAAGCAAAAAGCTCAAGAAGAATTATTGCAAAAAAAATAGTCTATGGAAATTAAGAAAAAAATATCTAGTAGAGCTCCGAAGAGAAGAATCTGAAGTCCAAGAAAGCAATAATCAGTAGATTGTAAGTTTAAATCAATTAAAATTTACGAACACTGGCCAATTAATAACGTTAAGGCTGTGTTGCTTATTTAGATTATGAAGAATTTTTGTTATTACCTAGGTAGGTACAATAAATTAATAAATTTATTTTTTTAATAAGTTTTTGTTAATTTTTAAGTAAATCCTAAAATATAGCCGTTCCGCAGTAATGAGTACGCAGTAACTGGATCTGTCGCAGTAATGGACACGCCGTTATAAGAGCAAGCTACTTCAAGACCCGCAGTAATACATGCATTTAGACTTCTTTTTAAATGCTTATTATTAAAAAAAAAAAACATTTATCTTTCTCACTGTCGATTTTGTTTTGGTTTAATAATGAGTCAAACTTTTGTTTAAAAATAGTTATTAATTATCTTAACCAAAATTTAGAAAAATGCTTTCGAAGTAAGACTTACGAAAAAACCGCAGAAATACCCAATAAATACGAAGAAATACTTATCCTAATGGAGTTTAGATGAATTCTGGCTTTAACAGCATTAACAGCCTTTATAGTTTTAATAGCACGCGGCTGCCCCGATCTTTTCTGGTCTTCGAAGAGGAAGTGCAGTTGTATTTGTTGATAGTACGATATACGAACATACGGCTGATATCAAGCTTTTGAAGTGTCTGGAATATCACCGACGGCTCCGTACACCTTTTGTGCAAGGCGATCATTACAATCCTATTTTCTTTAACACCCCATTTCATATTTTAATTTGATAATTAACACGAAAAAAGATGTGTAATGGCGAGAAATCGAAAAAAAAAAATTTAAATTATAAACGTGTTCCCAATTCAAAATAATTAAAAAGTTGAAAAAAAGAAAAGATTTTTAAGTAACAGTGTTTATGACCAGACTAGTTATATTCATAACCGCAATCCTAAATACACATCTTATAAATTTGAATCTAATGTACCAAAATGCAAACCTACCTGGATTGTTACGATAATACCAAGTCAATTAGCCTATCGTGACGAAACCAGTTAGCACATTTCAAAAGCGATTTTATCGTAAATATCAAATCAATTTACAATAACTAAAGATCGTGTTCCACAAAAAAAAAAACTTTTTCAATTGTGGGAAAATCTGTTATTTTGATTTCAAAACTAAACTATTGAAAAGATTTTAATAAAGTTTCTATGAGACCAATCTGTAAGTATATCTTTACAAATAAAAAAAAGGAATTTTTCAAATCGCTTTAAAACCGACGTGTGGTAAATAAAAAAATTTAACTGAATTGAGAAAAAGTTCCTTTTTGAAGTCGGTTAAATACTTATCTTTCTATTTATAAATCATATTATTATAAATAATAAACACATGTTAATAAGTGGTCAATGTTATTTATATTTTTTTATGACAAAGTTAAAATAACTTTATTCAGATATCCCATACAACACTAGACGTTCTTAATTATATGCACACCATTGTATATTTATCTTCATGCTACGCATGCATGCATTCGTGAATGAATTTTGAAAATCTATTTATCGGTTTTAGCAGCATATCAGTTTTTAGAAAATAATAAACTCTTTTTCTAAATTTATTACAAAATGTATGTAACTTACTATTCAAATAAATTAATTTCAAACACATAGATTGTACACAGTTTAAGAAGCGAATTTTTTTTTTCAGATTTTTACTGTTACCCTAATCTGAGAACAACGTATTAAAAATTACCTTTTAAGGGATGTAGCTCCTTAATGCAAATTAACATTGTTTAATATTTTCAAATTATTTGAGATGGTAATCGTCGCCTATAGACATCAGTAGTACCATGGACATAACAGAGTATACTGTTTCACCTATGATACCCCCTGTGCGTTGCCATTTCTGAGGACTAAGGGGTTATACCTCTGTACCCAGTAAATTCACTATCATATCCCACCCTTTAAACCGAAACACAGCCATATAAACACAACTGCTTCACATTAGAAACACGAATAGGACAGAGGTATCCAAGCAAACAACTTTTGTACAAAGTCTCTCTCTCTGGTTATTGTTGTTTATCGTTAATATATTAATTTAAGCTGTATTAAGATTTATTAATTCCTCTATTGTAAAGGTACTTTTTAAAAACACTTATTTCAATCAAAATTTAAAAAAATCCATATATATTTAAGTAATTTAATATAAATTATTGGAGCTTTATAAAATTATGAAGTATTCATATCTTTCATACATTTTGTTTTATATGGCACTACACATAATTAATTGGTCAGCTCTACTGTGAAATTAAAATTTTTCAATATTAGTCTTTACAAAATTGGTTAACTCATAAATACACAAAGAACTGATAATAATTTCAATTGGTTAAAATGTAGCATGCATCTGTGCCGCTATCACAAATTACAAATAGCTTTATTTCAACGTTTTTAACATTTAAAAATAATGTCTTTATTAGTAGAGTTTCTCCAAAACAGTATGCAATATATGACTATAAAACTGTTTCCATATTAACAATTTTACATATACAAAGCATATGGGCGAATCTCTGTAAACCCGTGATGGCCCATACAAATTCTGTCCAGGCAATTTTTTTTATCATTATCTTAAAAAATCATATTATTGCTTAAGAAAATAATAATTATTTTAAGTGCATAAGAATTCAGTGAACAAATATACACAAATAAAACTTTTGAATAACGGTCAATATATGAAATCTACAGTTCCCTTCCGTATTGGCAGGGAAGGAACTGGCCAAAGGACTGTCTGTTTTAGTTTATTTACATAATATTTACAAAACTATTGGAACGTAACTCGTTACGAAACTATCAATAAATTCGAACATAAATCATAGAAATAATAAAATTAAATTAACTAATATAATTAAAAACAGTTACCAGAGAACTGTATACTCAACAATCAAAATGCGATTTCCCGCCACATGTGACGCTCGGACACTAAACTAAAGCATGTTCCGCATTTTTTCAATTCCGCAATTCAATCTTCTTTATTTTGAATTTATTTTGCTATTTTGTGCAAATCCACAATTGTTCACACTAATTTATGCTGTAAATTCGTAAATTATTAAAAAAGTCGTTAACGTCTCGTTACTTTAATGACCGGAACCGGAAAAAAATTAGTCGCTGTTTAAAGACATATTAAATACATACATTAATTATGTTTTTTCGATATCTATATTTAATTAGAATCAAGCTATTTTGATATGTCAAAGAAAAAACTATGTCAACCTTTAAATTAGCAATGTTATTAGTTGTTATTAAAATAGTGCTATCATCCAAAAGAAAGTCATATAGTGTCTCAAATAGTCTATAAATAAAAGTTGTCTTAAAATGTTTCCTTGTGGTACTTATTTAAATACCGTTTGAGAATTTGATTTATACGTTTCTTTGTTTTTTATGTTAATATTTAATTTATTTATACAAGTAATTTGTGATCTACCTGATAAATATGACTTTATTAGGCTTAAAGCAATTCTTCTTAATCCATAATTATATAATTTTAAAAATATAGTGCAACACTTAACACATTACAGTCCATACCCAATGTTACTCTATTAAGTATTCATAACGAGCTATAATTATGGATTGATTCTTTCTGGAAGCATGTTGTTTAGAAGCAAATAACTCGTTTTGTTCAAAGAATTTATATTCATCATATCATTATATCAGCCTTTAATTGTCCACTGCTGAACATAAGTCTCCTCCTTGGGGGAGTTTTGTCAGTGCCACGCTTTGCAGGCGGATTGGCGACCGTAGTCAGGCTATAGAGATGTTTTAGGAGACACGCTGCTGCCCGTCCCTCGCCCTCACTAAGTCTACTCTTATAACACCCACGGGAAAGGAAGGGGAGGCCTATTTTATGCCAGCATCACACGGCTAGAAAATATAGCATAGCGCCAGAGATAAAATATCAGATACGTCTTTAATTACACTACTGACTATATCAAAATATCTCGCACTTAATTTTTTAATGCATTTATAATTTCATCTATATCTTGTGATCAATAATTTATTGTAGTTCAATCCATAGTAAATTGCATAAAACCCTAGTTATACAACTGGACATATTACATACAATACCGTCTAATCCTAAAGTAATCAAATCTAGTACTATGATACGATACAAGATAAATATTTTTTTGTAAATATTAAAAATGAATGCCATAGCCAATGACCATGACGGCACGACACAAATCCAATACATAAGTAAGGAAAATCTAACAACATCCCAATCATTACAATCCGTCAAGACTACGCTTACGCTGCGCTCAACCCTTTGACAAAACATAGGTAAATATAATACAACAATAGCATTTGGAAACTCCGCATATATATTCTGAATATTTAAAATTTTAGAATACATTTATTATATCCTTGTTCGTTTCAAATTAAAAGTCGCAGCCAAATGTGATCATATTATTATGAGTCATCAGTTCACAGTGGCTGACGACAATAATTTGAATAGCCCAGTAGTTATGACCTGCGGCCATTACCTTGAGTATACAACTGTACAAACGATTTTATATTGAAAAAGAAATTAAATACCTAGTTACATCAGTCAGCGACCCATCAAGTCCTAATTTCTAAGTGCATATTAAGTACCTACCTAATTTTGTTAGATGTGTTGTGGAAAAGGGAACCCAACTTGATGTTATCATCGCAACGAAAGATTCAACAATTATTTTCGTACTTTCATCCGCGTAACCAGGATATGCTTACTACCAAGTTAAAAAGTAGTCTATATTCGTCTTCATCCCATATAGTACGTATATACCAAATTTCATAATGAGTGATTAAGTCGTTATTTGGCTATGAGGTAATAAACAAACTTTCACATTTATAATATTAATAAGAATACCTGCCCAATTTTTAAATCACCTGGCGATGCGGTCTATATAATATCTCTTAGAAATCTAATCATAAATAAAAAAAAAGTTTAATTCCTCTTGCCTTATCTGACAATCCTTCATCCATTTCCCCCTAACTAGGTGAAGCGACGAACTCAAATCCATTGCAGGGAGTCAATGGATGCAGGTAGCTCGAGACCGTTTCTTATGCTTAGACAACGGTCTGTAAAGGATGATGATGATGGAAAGTTCATTTTTATGATTAAAAATTTAAAATAACGATTACTACTACTTGTAATTTTTATATTCATTAATATTATACTTTTGTTGCAGGATTCCAATCTTACATGGTATACGGATAGCCCTGAATTAACACCATGTTTCCAGAAAACCGTCCTAATATGGATACCATGCCTGTACCTGTGGGTAACCGCCTTATTCGATATGTATTATATATTACACAGCAAAGAGAGAAACATACCATGGAATCTATTAAATATCAGCAAGCTTGCCATCACATGCCTATTAATAGTAGTGAAGTTTGTGGACCTGGGAGTCACTGTGCACAACTCATCACAGGATGACAGCATAGTGTACAATGCTGACTATTACAGCCCAATAATAAAGATATTCACTTTCGTAAGTACCTACCTGATGTTTATATAATTATTAGTTATTTGTCGTAATATAAGTTTGACTTTTATACTATATAACACACGTTTGATACTTTGTACAAAAATCGTTTGTACGAAGGTGCCTCTGCCCTATTCGTGTTTCTATGGCTGTGTTTCGGTTTGAAGGGTGGGATATGGCAGTGAATTTACAGGGTACAGAGGAAATCATCACGGGCGAAACAGTGTACTCTGTTATGTTTATTATACTGCTCATGCCTATAGATAACGGTTACCACTTTCCATCAGGTGGGCTTGTTTGCCATTCTAAGTTACATAAAAATAAGTCTTGCTCACCAATTGCCTACTCCTAAAACTAGGATGTCTTCTGTTATGGAAAATTAAGCACCGAATATCTAGAGGTACAACTTAAAACACTCAGACCCGAGCTAATTTTGAAGAGTTCATTTCCAAAATTGACTCTACTATGAATCGAAATCGAACTACGCAAAGCATTGTCAGGAAATATAGTAAGAACAATATTGACATGTTGCCTCTTATGAATATACAAGTTCATTCTATTTCGCAAGAAACGATCTCTTTGTTCGTGATAAAACATAACGTGATGTTTAGCAAATACAATATTTTGTTTAGAAAAAAAAATAGCAGCTTTGATCACATAATTATTAAAATCAGTTCAGAATTAGATATAAATTAGAATTAGCTAAGAATTACATATAACTAAATGACAGTCACAGAAAATACTAATCGTTTAGAGGTGGGCCGTTTGCTTGCTTGCCATTCTAAGTTGCATAAAGAAAAAAAAAAACTCCTGTTGGTAGTTGCTAATAAAATGTCATCAATAAATAGTTTATTAGGTTCTTACTTTCTTTTATAAAATAGACAACTAAAATGATAATATTGATTCTTGGAAGAATGAGCATTAAACAAAGAACCGTCTGTGTTGAGTTCGGATTCCAATTTTAACAGGTAAATACGATCGATTGTAATGTTTAGAACTTTATACGATGCTCGGATGTGACTAATTTAGTCCGTTATTCTTATTATAATTATGTACAAATGTAAAAATATACTTAACTGACGGACAATTGTATCATCCGACGGTTTTAAGTTCAAATAGATAGTTAATAAAATTAATATATATTTTTAAATACTTTCATCTTATCTAACCTCATAATATTATTAAAATAACATTATTAAAAATATCAGCGTGAACGTCATTCTTTTAACGCTTGACATTATCAGTTATGATTACGTTTAAATTACATAACATTAAGTAATAAAAAACATGATATCTTATCGATCTCGACTGTTCAGCCTATTAAATATAGACACCTTTATAAAAAAAAACGCTAAAATAAACGCCGAAAATTTAATATTTAAAAATATTCAATGTTTAATAATTATTGAGAATGATCGATATATAGTTATCGATGCGTTACGATACGTACGAAGTCTAATCAACATTGAAATCTAATTAAAGATCTTGTAATTAAACAATTGAGATATTTAAGTTTTAATTCTAGTCGATATATACAATCGAAAGCCAGTTTTGGGTACTAATTAACTTTGTGGGCACACTTTTGCGAGGTTTAAATTCGCCAAGATTGGAGCTACTTGCTGGTTCATGGACTAAAGGCCCGTAATGTAAATCTTACTTAGTTCGACATTTTAAAGATAAAAATCAATAACGAAGTCTATAGACTTCAGTAGCTTTCATTATTTAATGAATCGAAATTGTAATCATCGGTAATAGCAGCCGTCAAACATAAAATACAAAAATGTCTAACAAATTACAAGTCTCTCCTATTAAACGAACTATATAACTTCAAAATTCTAAACATTGCCTATGGGTACTTCCCCATGGTGATACAATTTCATCAGTTACATGATGGAATATATCGGTTTCACTATCACATACAAAGTGTTTGCAAAAGCACAATTAGTCATTATGATAAGTTTCCACGAAATTATTGCGTAAGGTTTGTTCTAATCTTATCTTTCTGTATATACGATTCTTTCAATATCTACAATAGTGAAGAATCGTATTACTTCCTTGTGCAGATTCTATTCACAATCACAAGTGTTGAATTTTTCGAGATCCGTATTTTCAGGTTTAGTAGATTACTTAATTTTGCTGATGTCTATTAATTGATACCATGGTTTAACAGTTAATCCCACCCAGTCCCATGTTACTAAATGTTCTACCTACTATATAGCACGTGCGTATGTGGTGAAACAAATTACTATTTATTCTTGAGTATATAAAGAGTAATAAATTAATCCCAAGTATAAATAATATAGTATTTGTACTTGATATATATTTTAAAAAATATTTTATCACACGATTGTGTATGATTCATTTCTCGGTCGAGCCAATTTAGTAACTTTTAACTTTTCTAAATTGGCGTACGTTCTAATTCGTGTTCGGTATTAATATTGACCCAGAATAAGTTCACTATCTGTACTGTGTCTCTGTATGTGTGTAATCATTTGTCATTTTAAATATTGAAATATTTCTGTAAATGTACCTACTTCTATCATGCGGAATACGGATGGGCGCAAATTACTTCTACACTCATTTCTTTGTAAAGAATAGAATGACGTGACATGTATCGTTACATATACTTTTTTTTGACGTTTTATTCGCACGTCATTAACTTACAGATCCCTAAAAGCGATAACGTAGCTAAATTGATTGATACGGGTAGGGTACTTGTAATATATTGATACGAATTATCATTTTGTCTATGAATTTTTACTAATATTATAAATATGAAAGTGAGTGTTTGTCTGTTTGTTACCTCATAGCGCCTTATTGGCTTAACCAGTCACTATAAAACTTTGTATACAAGTACTATATGTACTATTTGGTATGGCGAAGGCTCCATACCATATAGTACATCATCATCATATCGACTTTTAATTGTCCACTGCTGAACATAAAACCTTAGTTCATATAGTACATTATAGACTACTTTTTATACCCGCCAATAAACATATCCCGGAAGAAGTCGCGGATAAAAGCTTAGTTATTTTATAAAACAAAATATATTTGTATCACGGACATACTTAAATCTATAGTATTTTACAATTTGACCTTGGTTGTTTAGTTATAATTCATAAAAGAAAAATACTACCTACCTCGGTTAGTTAGACATACAAGTATTTATATAAAAACTTGTTCATCTCATTACGGCATAGAGGCACGACATTGTAAAACACCTGACATGACCTTGACGAAGTGCAATGGGAGTGAAATAACCTTTTTTTTTCGTATTAACAATATGTAGAAATATTTGCATGCTAAAGACTACAAGAGTATAAGATGTGATTAAAAGTGCCTCGTTCATGCTGTACAGACTCAGTAGATACATGAGTCGTAGCACACACGTTCTCGACGTGATATTATGTCTGCTTGATTTTATACTCTCGTGAAACAGAGCTGCGTACTATAATCCAGACAGTTCATTCTCTCTCTGTATCTCAAACTCACAGGTCAAAAATCTCTGTTTAAATAATAAGAACCTATGAGTGATCTAGTATTTAACTGTCTTTTCTATTCAGAAGATGTTGTTCTCTCTAAAAACGATCTTTTAACTCGACGAGTTATATGTATACCGTTCCATAATTATCCCCGTACTGTTGTATATACCAGCGTCAGTTGATTATGCAAGAAAGAGAATGTAGGTAAATAAACTCTAAACTCGCGAACTCGCTCTCCATAATATAGCGGGAAGACTGCATTTATCTTAAAATGTAAGTTGTAGAAAACTGAGAAAAATCTTATTACGATGATTTCATTATATATAAATTTTTTTTAAATAGAATGCAATCCTTTCACATAACTAATATAGTGAAAATGAAAGAATTAAATATACTGAAGTAGGAGTCTAGAGCCCAGTATTTACTCTGTTGAATTTCTGAAAATAAAAATATTTATTAGATGGATTTGATCGACATGATTGCCCCTATTGAATGGTGTCATGAAAGTACGGGTTGTATGCATCGGTTCAAATATAGTCTATGTAAAGCGTCTCAAATATCTTTAAATCTCGTTTTATTTATTTTCAATATATCCGAAATGTGACTTTTATGTGTTGTAATGAACTATTTTCCATCTAGATACGTATATAATAAAATAAATAAGTATATTTATCCAAAAAAATATCAATTTCAATCGTGACACAACTATTTTTTTTATGCAACTTAGAATTGCAAACAAACTGACGGTTTACCTGACGGAAAGTGGTAACCGTCGCGTATAGGCATGAGCAGTGCCATGGTCAAAACAAAATATACTGTTTCGTCCATGATACCTCCCATTCCTGTTATTCCTCAGTACCCTGTAAATTCACTGCCATATCCCACCCTTCAAATCGAAAGTCACCAAAACCACAGCCATGCAAACAAACACAACTGCTTCACAGCAGAAACACGAATGGAACAGAGGTGCTCAAACAAACGACTTTTGTCTTCCTCTGATAGTTATTTTGATTTAAAAATCAAACTAAGTGGACAGTTTTTGATTAAATTTCTATGGGATCAATCTAAAAGTATACCATTTCAAATATGAATTTGAAATGATATACTTCAAATATTTCAATATTTTTATATACTTCTATCCAAATCGTTTTATAACCTCTTCCTTTTTTAAAGTTACTAAGGTAAATGAATGATGGAGTTTGTCTGAGATAATTTTACAATTATTCATAAAAAAATATAATGCAAACGCCGTTTCCACTGTGAGAATTGATAATCTCTTCCGTTTTTTAAAGTCGGTACCAATTTGGTTTTTTATTAAGCGAATAGGGGGGGTGTTCGGTCACCGTAATGGAATTTTTACTCAAAAACTCACGGACAATGAATAGATGAAGAATCCAACGCCCCTCTCGCGCCAATTCTGGACATTAGCTTTGAGGCGTCTGAGCACATCACGTAGAATTTTCCATCAACTTTTATTCGAAAAAAACAATCAACATTGTCTTGACATTTGATGCAATTTTCTTGATCGTGGTTCCCCGGATGACTCTTTGCTTTCACATTCTTACTTGATTACGACGCGCTGCTCTTATTTTTATTTAAATAAGAATATAATAAATTGTTTATTTTTAGTTATTTTCTTCCAGAACATATAATCAGAGAAAATAAGTAAATCTTTTTTATTTTTATTTTAATAAAAATATAATAAATTATTTTTAGTTATTTTCTTAGCATATAATCAGAGAAAATAAGTAAATTATTTATTTAAGTTTTATTCTAAAAAAAATCGTTGTTTTTTACTGGACATATTCATTTAGTAACGCTTTCTTTTCAGGGTTTATCGGCGACACTATTATATTATAATAGAAAATTTGGTATGAGAGCATCAGGGGTGTTATTTTTCTTCTGGTTACTGTTAATATTAGCCGGACTACCACAGCTCCGATCTGAAGTAATACGGCATTACCAAATGGAAGATGACGAAAATGTCAAATACAATTTCATCAGTTACATGGTTTATTATCCACTTATAGTTTTAATGTTTATATTAAATTGTTTCGCCGACTTGCCGCCAAAAGACACGCCCTATAAATATGAAAAGGTAATAGTTTTAATCTAATTATTAAATAACATAAAAACACCTGATTTAACTTTACTATCAGCTAGTATGCAATTCATATGCAATTCATATATCTATCATAATATGAACTCAAATAAACTAAAAATTAAATAAGACAGCATGCTTTATTTCTACACATACTTATCAAGTTGTTGCAAAAGAGAAAGTTAACAGTCGTTTGATAAATTTACCTTGACACAAGACATAAGGTCAAATGTATTTTGTACTCGGGGTTCATTTTAGCGGGCCCTGGACATAAAGTAGATTTGACCCTACCGACCCCTCTTCCCCTAGATTATTTTAGATCACAGGTTATTTGATTAGAATTATTTTGTTTAAATCCACAATATTTAGTACTTAAATGTGTGACCGCCAATACTCGAAGATTGACCACCATCATTTCTACCAGAAGTTCTACAACCTTCTGTAAGATTAGTCCTTAATCTCTGACTGCCATTGAGTCCAAGCAAGTTTTGCGACACATGTTTCATTTCTAAACGAGAAATCTTTAGGCAAACTATTAGATCGCTAATGATAGCGGAATTAAACAAAATAATTATAATCAAATAACCAGTAATATGGACTTCCGCATAATAACACCTATTTCGGTAAAATATTTAATATTAACTGTGTAATAAGAAAAGAACTAATTTAACATTCATATTTAATTGCTTTTTGTACTTATTAAAGATGATATATATTTTAACAGAATCAATGTCCAGAAAGCGCATCAGGGTTCCCGAGTCGCCTTACTTTTAGTTGGTTCGACCCTCTCGCGTTAACAGGGTTTCGCAGAAGCCTAACCGATAATGACCTCTGGGCACTTAACCCGCCGGATTCTTCCATTGAAGTGGTGCCACGTTTCGACAAGTTTTGGGAAAGATCTTTAATGAAAAGAGAAGAGTAAGTAAATAGATAGATAGATAGATACCTACGATTGTTTATACTCTTCAAAAATGGTATGTAAATGTAAAACATTATAATCAGATTAGACTCTGTTTATGCTCATAAAGTTATATATTTTATAAAACTCAAGAAACTCATTAACAATATTTTTGAAATATTTACTCTGCGTTATCATAATACCTACATTCCCAATTACACAATTATAACTTACGCCTAGTAACAAAACAGCCTTCTTTTAATATTCTTAAAAATTCTTATTATAAATGTACATATTAGAATTATTGTATTTGTAATCTGTTTAGACAGAGTGGTAAGTACTTTCTCTCTAGAAACAAAAATTTACTCTTTAATTGACACTTATTTTGTCCGTCTACGCTGAATAAAATATCATCGAGATTAAAAACACATGGATATAAAAAGAAGAAAGACAAGAAATTTATACTTTCCCGTATAATTAATATTTCGAATAGAGGTACTGATCTTTTTATATATTCTCTAACGGAATTCACAAGGGCTGGAATGTTTACTATTTGTTATTGTAAAATCTAAACCAATGCTAATTTTAAACTTTCGCCTTGTTTACATATATTTTAAATACACTATCCGGACTTAACGGGTTGAAAAATTTTTGCAGGTAAATATTACCTACGTACCTGCTTCTTTATTGCCGATGTTTCGACATGGATTGCACCATTGTCCTTTCATGACTAAGACCAATAGTGTATTTAAAATAAACCAATGTTGTTTTTTGTACCATGTCGAATTGAGATGTATCCTGTAAGGACATGGTAACAAAGAAACAAATTAATAAATTTGTTAACTGTATACTCGTGCAATTATAACAAGTACAGCGTTGTTGAAATCTGTTTAATTGTTATAATTTATTTGCATTATATAACATGTATAATTAAAGAAAACGAATAATTACGAGTGCAATGGATGGACTTGTATAAATACAAATTATTGCTGAAATTATATCTTTGTATCTTGATAAATCCAAATAAAAGAAAACAAAATATATAATAAGTAAATTATTCAAGGATAGTAATTATAATTTAGTTTCACTGATAGTAATTAAATTTATGCAATTTGCCTAACGTAGGTATTATTGTCTAAATTAATCCTGTTGTGAAGTATAAGCCTGGAGAATAATTAACCAGTGCAATGTCTGACACAAAAAAGTAGATTTGGTAATATCCATAATGTTTTTTCAAATACACACATTCCTATTGATTTAAATATCAAGCAAAAACAATAACAATATTTTTATTCCTAAGTTATATCCAATCCTGCTATATATTTTCTAATTCTGTATTGTAAACAGCATTTCTGATGGTATTTTCGGTAGAATTTATTAAAGGCAAAACGCAAGTTAAGGCAAACAAAATCAAGCAACAAAATTAAGCAATGTTACAAAAATCCTTTACTGATGTGAATGACTTTTGTAACATTAAGACATGGCAGAATATGAAAATCATATTCCAATCATTATTGAATCATAAGAAAATTTTGAAGCAGGTGATTTGGTCAATTCTTATTCATATTGAGGTCCTTGTATTATAGAATCTCTGTGTTCGCCTGTTGATTCGTCTGTGTAATTACTTCTAAAAATTATAAAGTTTAAATCTAGTGTTGCCTAATGAAGCAGAACTACTACCTGTTACCTGCCAAAGCCACGATGATCCAAACTTTTCGTAGTACTTCATCGTTCCTACCTGTGTTGGGAGCATGCACTGAGAAACGTTCAGCTTTTATAAATTAACGAATGTCTGGCAATCGCGAGTTATTATATAGTAGACTACTATAAGAAAGAAGCTCCTAGATCGCATAAGGACCTTTTGTATCGGTTCTTTTTTCCAACCACTGGCTTGAAGATATCATATTTGTATGTTAATTTTTATATATTACGTTTTCTAGTTCAAATGGTACAAAGGCAACGTACAGTAAAACGTCGGCAAGCGTGAATTTCAAGCCTGAGAGTGAAAAGCAGCCAGCCTCTATATTGCCAGCTCTATGCTTGGCGTTCGGGGGACAGTTCCTTTTCGGAGCACTACTGAAACTTATCAATGATACCCTCATGTTCTTATCACCACAAATACTTAAGTGAGTAATAACCGTCTCTATTAATAATTCTACGAATATTCAGTAATTCGTTTGATAAGTCTCTTACTCCCAGTTATCTCTGCCTGCCCATTCAGAGATCTAGTGTAATGATTAAAAGAATATTCCTAAATAGAAACTAATGTTCTCGTCAAATGACAAAAATATTCAACAAAGCTGTGATATAAATTAATATATCAGCAGTTGCATTTTAAAAGTATCTTTGAAAATAAACGGTAACTACAAACCCATGGATATTTTTTATTTTTTGTTTTCTACCAGCAACAACTTTTATATTGGGTTGATTGATTATTATTTTAAGTTGTAGAAGTTAATTAACAATTTCTAAAATATTAGTTTTTATATTAATATAATTTTACAGGCTTCTAATAGGTTTTGTAGAAGGCAATGAGCCCGATTGGAAGGGTTACCTTTACGCTATAGCCTTATTGGCATGCGCTACAATACAGACTTTGTTATTGGCACATTATTTCACGAGGATGTACCTGGTTGGTATGCGAATAAGAACGGCGCTGACAAGTGCGATATACAGAAAGTCACTACGAATGTCCAATTCAGCCAGAAAAGAGTCTACTGTGGGAGAAATTGTCAATTTAATGGCCGTAGATGCACAGAGGTGAGATAAGTTTAATTACATACATTATAACAGTTAGCTGAAGAGTCCGTTGCAATAGATTTCGTTATAATTTAAGAAGCAGCCGAGATAAGTAATTGTAATTTACTATGACTCACGATAATTATTATTCAACAATACATAATGTATTATATTACACATAATGTATTATATTACACATAATGTATCTTAAATTTGCTCGATCATCATTATTACATATTTCTCCATTATTTTATAATATTGTGAAAGTTACACGAAATACGCCAGAGACGAGAGGTTTCTAGTTGACACATAAGTAGGTCAACTAATAATTTGGGGCATAATATTGTGGGAGTTATCTGCAACTTAATAATACATTATCAGTAATAGTTATAAGCGTTGGATAATATAACATGTTCATTTGTCTGCAATGAAATACATCATTTTTATACATTCATGATTAAATTTATGTATTAAGCACTGATAATATCTTGCCAATGGTGTCGATTCTGAGGTGTAATTTCTCTAAACCTACATCTTAATGATTTAATTTGATACTTTTGCGAAATTACTGTTTTATGGACCATCATAAACTAGATTTATAATAATTTTGATATAAATTTAGTTCAAAGAACTAACCTTTTAAAAAACATTTTGCTGTAATATCAAATAGAAATTTTTATTTTAGAGATATATTAGAGAGAGAGAGAGAAGATACTTATCTAAACGTATCTCTAAAATAAAATCAATCGACCGCCAATATTTAGCCGAATTTATTTAAATTTAGTAAGATGGTGCAAAAGGTGTTGTCTCTATATTTCACTCTATATATTAGTTTATTAAACATATTCATAATTACTACTCTATAAAATTAATCTAAAAATTTACTCACTCACTGTATAAAATTAATCTAAAAATTTACATTTTCGGTTTTAATTGAGAAAAATTACTTATGATGTGGCTAATGTAATGTTATATGTACTCTATATATCTCAGGCGATTGCTAAATTACCTACAATTCATGTTAACATTAGTAAATTATAAATACATATTTTCAGATTCATAGAGTTGACAGCGTACTTAAATATGATATGGTCGGCCCCGCTCCAGATTGCTCTGGCTCTATATTTCTTATGGGGTATATTGGGGCCATCAGTTCTGGCTGGCCTGGCCGTAATGATCATCCTTATACCAGTGAATGGGTTAATTGCAAACAGAGTAAAAACATTACAAATTAAACAAATGAAATATAAGGATGAAAGGGTTAAATTAATGAATGAGGTGCTCAATGGAATTAAGGTATGTACTTCAACAAAAACAATTTATAATTTATTTATATTCAATATAAAATTTAATTATAGCCAGTTCAGCATTTTTTACTAAATTAAATATAATGTGCCCTTGCGTACTGCCACTGTTTAGCAATAAGATGTTATGTGTCTTAAGTCAAAGGTAACATTGGTTATTTTTCCTCTTTAGACTGAAACGAAGGAGGTACACTACTCAAATATTGATGCTGTTCGCATCTTTATAAAAACATTTTAAAATGCATTTAGGAATCCTAAATACTATGCTAAAAATATTAACCTCCATACAGTTAGATAAGGCAGGATTCGTTAAAAATTATGACGTTCGAAAGGCTGGTGGGAAATTTGCCAAATGATAATATTTTTTCCGTCGTGTAATGGTCTAAGTAACTGGGAACGCACTCGATCCATATATCTGAGAGATACAGGTTATAGTCATACTATCCTAATAACTACATATCTGTAGAATGGAGCTGTACTAACAGCTCGAATTATTTTTTTTCTACCTAATATTTACTTGCACCTAATTTATAGGCTGTAGCAAGATTCTAATGTAAATACTCGTTGTTTTCACGGCACCTTTAGCTATTTGATACTATTTATCAGTTTCAAACTGGGTCAAATATAACGAAGAATCATACAATAGTAAAGATAAGATTATAGAAATTATTTAATGTTTCGCGTAAAATGAGTTAACTCCTTCACATAGATTTTTTTATCTAAAAAAGTTATGTCCATGTCAGGAGAAACTAGGTATCGTATTAACTGTCACGGTATCGCCTTGTCGATACCATATCATCCAGCGGGTTAAATTCAGAACTATACGAAAATGGAATCTATTATAGTCACCCTCCACTCAAACTCAATGAATTTGCATTTATTTTTTAAGTGAATCAGCTACATTATCTAAATACCTATACTCTAATCTAAACACAAATACAAAATTTCTTGCTGTTTAAAATTGAACCTTTACTATACATGTCGCAAGATTGAAATTTTTTCGTCTTGATAAATTATTCAACTTCCTTAGAATGAAATATTATGGATATAGATTAGATCTTGCATCCTTGGCCTTCAGACTGGCTCTTCCCGTTTCATGTAAATCGCTTCACTTCTTGAGTTCTGTTCAGACTCTCATTCACACTTATAATAATTGTCACAATAGTGACGGCCTGCGTAGATAATTATCATTTTATCTGATGACAAATTTTCCCTTTGTCTGAGTCGTGTACTTACAAATTATGTATGTGTTGTAACAATTTTGGAAGTTTATAAAACTTATAAAGTATACTAATTTATTTGAAATATCCATCATTTACGCATAAATCGATTTAGCAACAGCACGCACGTGCCAAGATTACCTCTAATTAATATGTTATCTAGATTATAAAGTACATAATGATTAAACTAACAAAATAATTTCTCATTTGAGCTAAAAAAATACGGTTTTTATTATGAGAAAAACAAGGAACTGAGGAAAACGAATCGTATTGATTATAAATTTTATCTCGCAAAACCGAACACTCTTATGAATAAACATTTATTTACGATTAGATACACATCAAATTCTCAATTTTAAATTTTTATCAAAATGTTAAACTCATATATTATCTATTATGTGACAAAATTTTATTAAAAAAATTAAGTTGCTGTAACTTGTTCAAAACTATAAGATATAGTTTTATTTATAGTTTTGAACAAGTTACAGTAAGTTATTCTAATATTTTGATTCATCATCATCATCATATCAGTCGTTAACTGTCCACTTCTAAATATAGGTCAGTAGTTGCCACGCTTAGCAAGCGGATGGACAATTAGGCTTTTAGTGATGTTTTAAGAGAAACGTTGCTGGCCATCCCCTGATCATTAAGTTCCCTTAGTCGCCTCTTACAACACCCATGGAAAAGTAAGTGGTGGTCCAGTCAATGTTGGGACCACACAGCAACGGCAGTATTTTGTTTATGTGTTCTTATCACTTTACAGGTACTTAAAATGTATGCATGGGAACCGAGCTTTGAGGATCAAGTACTTAAAATAAGAAACAAGGAAATGAATGTACTTAAACAAACAGCTTATCTCAATTCTGCCACGTCATTTATATGGTCCTGTGCACCATTCTTGGTAAGCTTTAACACAAATAACTCGTAATTGCCTTGTAAGTTATTTGGTTTAAGTTCAAAGTTTAATAGTCATATTTTTAATGATACTTAGAACAGCAAACAAGCCATCTGATGGAAGGTGATAACCGTCGCCTAAGACATGAGTAGCACCATGGACATTATAGAATATACTATTATGACCATGGATTCCATACTCTGTAAATTCATTTTTATATAAAATTAAAATAGTCGTATGACTATTTTAAATATTTATAGTTACAAATTTGTATTATATTTGAGTGTCACGTTTTCCACAGTACAACAGTTGGCAAATACCTCTGTCTATCCCATTAGAAATTATGGTCATAAGCATATTTATATAAATTTTAATACATTATCAATAAACGATATTTAATTGCAATTATACATTATCTTTCATCAGATTTATATAAGTATTATATGTCTAAAGATAATTTTAATCCAATATTTACAGCTTAAGTTTTACTATCTTATTGATATATTGCCTTATTACTTGTATTGATTATGTCGCCTTACATTATGTAAAAACTCTTATCTGATCACCATTATTATTTGATCACACTTTTTTAAAATAACAGATTTATTTTCTAAAATATTACTTTTTTATACTGTTAAATTATAATCCTTTGCTATATACGTATAATTTTTTTAGCACTCGTAAGACTGTTTATTATATTACTGATTAATTCTGTTTTGTTTACAAGTGTCATATAAGTAGGTAGAATTTTTTTTCCTTATACATATACGAGTAATATCATTGTCAATAATAGTCTCTTTTTCTCTTTATTTGCCATAACAAATATATTATACAGTATAATATTTTTAAAGAATAGTTACGTAAATATTTACGTAACTATTATATACGTACAATGGATACCATTATCCTCTATTAAATATAAAAATAAAAACACGGTTGTATATTTATACAACACCTATTTAGATATGTTAATAATATGAGGATTCTACTCGTACCTTATATGAGCAGTTCCAATACTTTCTTCTATAAGATGCTGTTGTTCGTGTTTTTATATATACATGTTATATTATTTATACCTTTCTATGTCTGAAACAAATAATATGAGATCATTTTTCGCTAAGTACACAACGGAAAACTCTAAATATATTAACTCAGTGATATTATGAATTGTAAACACTACCAGATATACTTTGTACATAACAGAATGTATCGTTGTAATCTATTGCTAAACACAGATACATAGCGAAGAAACCCACTATTGGTTTATATGGTAGTTAACTATATACTGTAAACCTTATCTAAAATTGAATTTACTCCACACATACTAAAGTATATGTTCAAAGAAATGAATTTATCATAAATCATTCAGATAACTGCTAACTTAATGAATATTGATAACTATATAAATTCTCTATCAAAATAAATTTCATCTATTATATTTAGGATCAATCAAAAAATCAATCAATACGAGTACTATTTCATCTTGGTAACTTTTAACCGTTTTCATGAATAAAGTTATCAATGTGCTATTTTTTATATGCATGTTACTTGATATCGATATCTACGCCGATTATGAACGATTTAAACTTTTTATTTTTATTAAAAGATTTTATTTTGAGGATATAAATATATTAAAATTTAATAAAGGTTTTTTCTCTATCAAAAATAATAATATAATTTCTTTTACAATACATATGTATTTAACCAAATCTATGACAAATCGAATGGATCATCTAATTGTTATCAATTAATGGCATAAAACCCCGTCAATGTCGAACTAATAGAATGCAGTAAGATCTAATTTACGTTGGCCGCTTATTATCAGGCGGAACGTAAGCTTTATGAAAATGAAGTTTGAAAAAACTATGCATATTTTTTAAAAATTTAAAAAATTTGCCGATATTTTAATATATTTATTAAAAAAAATGTAAATGTTTTGTTTAAGGTGACATTTCTCACATTCTTCACTTATGTGGTATCCGTCGATAATAATAAACTAACGGCCACAAATACATTCGTATCAATATCCTTGTTTTATACAATTCACTTGCCGTTAGGTCTGTTACCCCTCGTCGTGGTCTCTGCTATTGAGGTAGAACCAATGTTGTACATCTGCACTTCAGTGGCTGTGGATCTTCCTACATAAATACATAGTTAATACTAACACCATATATTGCTCATTATCTGACGTGACTGATGAAACTACTTGTTTGCGTTATCTGCAGTTACAACGATTATTATTACGTCAAAAGGTATTTGTTATATTTGCACAAAACGTTTACAAAATAATTACTAGAATGCAAAGAACAATTAAATTAAACTAAATTTGTAACATTGAGTCAAAATGATCATAAATTTTGTTTGTAATAGTCCCTTAATTATATATAATACTTATAGTTTATATTTATATTTCTGTTGTACGTGGTTTATATATGTATATTTTTCTAAGTATATGTATCTATCCATATGTATGTATATTCATTATCTTAAAATGTATTAACGTTGTTATATATCAAAACAGTTCATTTGCAAATTGATTTCATTAGGCCAATGCATTGCCATTTACTCGCTCTATTTAGCGTAACGGTTGAGTGATAGAGAATGCTATCAGGCTTTAAGTCCGCCCTATGTACATACTTTAATGTGAGCCATATTTCATCATTAATTGCACGGGAATAAATTAGTATAAATTTAACCTTTGAAAATGCCTTAAACGGCGATACTGGTCAAGTATTTATTATAATACGTTTTTGTGGAAGTATTTAATTTAAATATGAAAGTTTTTCAAAATGAATGGATGTGTATAACCGGATTTAAATGAAATTTTGGTACACGGGTAGATTATATCTTAACTTAGCACATAGCACTTATACTTTATGTGCTGATTCATACGAGCTAAGCCGCAGAATACAGCTAATATCAATATGTTTCAAATACTTTGTATTAATCGTATATCCGATTGATTATATTATTTATTAATTATAAATATAATTCAATTGGGGAAAACCACAGGTTGTAGTACAGATATATAATCTTAAAATTATTAGCTTCATATAATGTTGTAACTGAAGGTATAACGTGAGCAACACATCAAGCATGTGCATATCAAATAATTAATGGTATGGTCTCACCCAGGTGTCGCTGATGTCATTCGGATGTTTTGTGTTGGTCAACGACACAGAAGTGCTCGACTCTAAGAGGGCTTTCGTAGCATTATCACTTTTCAATATACTGCGTTTCCCATTATCTATGCTACCTAATGTTATATCAAATGTTGTACAAGTAAGTTTTTCAAAATTTTTTAATATTTTTTTTATTGGCTAAGGTTCCGTATTTTAAAATCTATTGAGCATAATATACCGAATATAGCAATTAAGAGTATTTTCTGGCGCATATCCTGCATTGGGGTTGACAGAAAAAAATTAATAAATGCTTTTTTTATAAATTTAAATTTTCTTTTAAAAGAAAGTAATGAATCTTTTGAGTAATAAAAATAAATTTATCGTTTAAAATTTTTATGATTGAGATGATTGTAAAGGTCTATCATTGCTATATATATAGACGCTGGAAAGGCAAATGTGACATTGACCGATATTGAATATACTCGTACCTGTAAATTTTTGCATGTTTTTTATTCATTATATTTGTGTAATAAATTAATCAAAACAAATGGGCGTGATTCAAGTCACTGTAAAAATTTCTTTGATTTACACTTCACACTTTTGGTTGTTTTCGATTTTTATTATTATAAAATATGTCAAAAATAGAAAAATGTTATACTGTTTTGCCGTATCAGACATTTATTGTATTACATATTATCACTAATTTGTTTTCGTTTTGCTTCTATTTTTATTTTCTTATCCTTCAGTAAAATTTACTAAGTGGTGCTAAATACATTTTGCCTTTCCAGCGTCAATATTGTGTTAACAAAATTGCATTTACACCATCACGTAATATTCCTTATAAAGTCTCAACTGACTGCAATTCAATACTAACACTTAATTTTACCTATTTGCTTCGGTTTCCTTTGTTTTTGGTGATGGAAATTACATCTTTATTTAATATAATAATATTTTTAATACTTTCAGACTTCAGTTGGTATAAAAAGATTGAACAAATTCATGAATTCCGATGAATTAGATGATAGTGCAGTGGAACATGACCCCAAAGAACGTGAGTAACAAATACACAAACACAAAAATTATAAGTTCTTCATTTTTTATTGCGAACCAATTTAAAACTCAGGATGTCGCTGTCTTCTTATTATTATAAGAAGACAGCAACATCCTGAGTTTAATGTTGTATTAATAACGTTATGCTTTAATGTAATAACTACCGGTTTAACTCACGCGCAATTAAATCGAGAAAGCTCGACTAGTTTCGGGATCAATTCGTGATCCTTAATCATGAGCGGCTGTGACGCGGGCGCGAGTCTCACTAAAATTAGAACTCTAATTACATGTAAGTTAAACTGGTAATCATTACATTAAAATATTAATATCATGTTTAATTGACAAGTTCTAATAACGTTTTAACGTAGTAAAGAAATACTTACGAAATACGGATTACCCGTATAATTATTGATTATAATAATTGTGAGGCAGAGAAAAGATTTGATACACATTTCTCTTAATTCGATTTTTTTTCCCACAGCTAATCCTTTACTGATAGAAAATGGTCACTTCTCGTGGGGTGCAAAAGACTCTGATCCAGTACTTAAAAATATCAACTTGCACATACCACGAGGGTCCCTCGTGGCCATAGTTGGTGCTGTAGGCTCCGGCAAGAGTTCTTTACTTTCAGCGTTGCTCGGGGAAATGAACAAAGTTTCCGGGCGAGTCAATACACATGGTGAGTTTATTTTTATGCGACGTCAAAAAAGCAGAATTTCTTAAATATTTCAAAAAAATAAATACCGATTTTAAAATAGGAGAAGGTCTCAATTTGGTTGTATTTTTCAACCTACTTTAAAAAGTTGGAAGTTCTCAATTCCATTGTATTTTTTTTTTCTTTTTTTTTTATTTTATCTGAACTCTATTACGAACCGATTTGTATTATAAATATATAATTAGTTATATTTCATCAGTCAATCACAAATGAATAGTCCTAATTATATGGCAGTATCATTAAGTTCCAAACTGCCTTATTGCAAAAAAAAATATTATGTTTTGCTCTGTTGAAGGATTTTGCCTATATGCCTCTATCGTTTGAAACCCGCGATATACGCCGTGTTCCTAATTTACAGTAACTTCCAGATCAGTGCTAATAGGTATATTTCTAAGTAAGTAAGTAAGTAAGTAGGTAAGTCTTTGTATTGTTTGGAAATCATCACCAACGAAATGGTTAGTCTGTTTAACTGTTATTTTACCGGTAACAATTATAAAAATTAATATCAAACTAACTAAATCTTTGTAAAAACAACTTTAGGTGAATAGATATAGAATACTAACTTGTTTTAATAAAGTGTAATGTATCACTCAGGTAGTATAGCGTATGTGCCGCAGCAAGCATGGATTCAAAACGCAACGCTGCAAGACAACATCCTGTTCGGCAAGCCGCTCGACAAACACAAGTACAACAATGTGATATCAGTGTGTGCACTCAAAACTGATTTCGACATGTTACCCGGCGGCGACCAAACAGAGATTGGAGAAAAAGGTATGGTACTTTTCTGAAATAAAATATTGAAAAATCTTAATATATTTAAATCCCTTGTCATCATGTTCCTTCACACTTCTCTAAAACCACTCAACCGATTTTAATAAGATAATGTAAATGTATATTGTTTGCTTTTACTTCAGAGATAGGATAGTTTTTATTCCGATAAGAAATTACTGACCTATAAGTGGCGGTAAAGGGCAAAACAACGTATGCTGGGTAACTAATATGTTTATTAAATTGTACCAGAGTAACACATGACTTATACAATTAGGGAAAAAAAAATATTAAATAATATCTATAAGGTTATTTTATGTGTAAATAAAAGAAACGTTTTTATTTATATTATTGTTTGATTTCAAACCGTAATTGTTGCCAGGTATTAATCTGTCTGGAGGACAAAAGCAGCGCGTATCGCTCGCACGAGCGGTATACTACGATGCCGATAATTATTTCTTAGACGACCCACTCAGCGCTGTCGACTCTCACGTCGGCAAACACATATTTGATAAGGTCAGTTTACACATAGTCCATTAAGAGTGTTCATAACTAAATATGGCAACGTCGCAATTAATTGTCAATATTCAAAAGTATTTATACATTTTTCAATATTTGTGATTGGTTAATTAATATGTGCTCTGCTAGGTAACTAAAAAGTTAATCGATAATATTCTTATTAAACTGTCACTGAAATTTTTTATTTTGATAGCAAAAATGTATTTGAAAAACTCCAAAGCAAAATATGAAGCAGGTACAATGTTTTTAATGGTAAAATATGTGATGTATTCTATGATTAATGTAAGTTCGCTAACAGGACATCAGTCCATCTGTCAGAAACATTGAAAATGTTAAATTGTTTTAAAAATTGACAGATAATGGCGACGTTGCCCCACTTCGGTAAGCAAAAGTTATGAACGCTCATTAGAAAAAAATACTCTTCGGGTATTTCCAATAAATTTGTGGCAACATTTACTATTTTAGAGTCAGAGTCAAATAATTATTTTTATGTTTCTTAATAGCATTATTTTTTAGTGCTTTTCTATCAAATTGACAATTCAACCCTAATTTCGCTGAATAGTAAGCGGTCCTTGTGCCAATGCCAATGCTAAAGTCTCATGCATTACTTTACAACTTACTTTTCAATCCTTGTATTAAATGTGATAAACCTGGTGCTGGCTCGTCGTAAGTTAGTGAACATTTCTAGGTGATAGGTCCAAATGGACTCCTCAAGAGTAAATCCCGCGTGTGGGTGACACACAACGTGTCGTACCTAGCGCAGACTGATCTCGTGATCGTGTTACGCGACGGGGAAGTCTCCGAGGCAGGCACCTACCAACAGCTGCTCGAGAAGAAAGGCGCTTTCGCCGAGTTCCTTTTACATCACCTAAGTGACGCTGAGAGGACATCGCCTGAAGGTATTCTTTCTGGCTTGATAAGAAATAATTGTTGTATTACAATTACGCAGTAATGAAAGACCGAGTGGGTTTGAACGTAAACGTAGTTCTGACATGTGGAATGTATATAGAAGGATAACTTTCCTCGTTACAAGATCTCCATGAAGATAGATAAATGATATTTTAAATAGCTGAATTTTAATAAAATTCATGTTTTCAGAATTAAATGAAATAAAACAAGATCTTGAGACCAAACTCGGGTCTGAGTTTCACAATAAACTGCAACGAGCTCGGTCGTTGTCTGAGAGCAATTCAGAGTCCGATCAAACAGCTGCAGGTAAGTTCACTCTATTTATCTCTTCTCTTAACATTGGAACGATATAAGAAGTCACAGTGAGAAGATTAGATGAAAAAAAAAACATTTTCCACCTTATTCTTTTTATTAATGACTAGCGTTTGCCCCCAATTTTGTACACGTGAATTTTGAGAGAAGCCAATTACTTCTAGATGACGTGTCAAAATAAAACATGTGTAAAATTTTAAGTTGTACCTTTTAAGAACACAACTAAGAAAACCGGGTCCAATTGGTGCAGTAGTTTTTACGTGATGCCGGAACAAACATACAAACAGAAAAAAAAATCGAAAAAATATTGTATTGTGTTCTATTACTCTTCATCATCACCGTCATCATCATACCACTGTTCACTGCTTAACATAGGCCTCCCGCATAAGGGGTACTCTTATATTCATCTAATTACAATTTTATTATATTAGCTTATACCTTTATTGTATATTTTAATGAGATTGACGTACATGACGTTTTAATTACAGGAGATCGTGCTGGCAGCGTAAAGAGACGGACACCAGACGATGTTACACAAAATGAATTAAAAGAAAAGAACAAACTCATTGAGACCGAGAAAACTGAAACGGGCAGTGTAAGTCATTTCGTATACCTACTTTTATTTTATTTTAAATGCCACGTGTGTGAAATAGCGTTAGGAACATAATAATATAAAATAATTCAAAACTGTAATGAATCGGCGTCTTCATGAGACGCTAATTCATTATAGTTTTTAATTCAAACCATCCAGTATGTTTCATGCAGAAACGAACAAACGATTTTAACTAACGTGAAAATATTTGTAAACGTTAAACATTTGTAAAATACGTGACGAATTTAACAATAAATAAATCACATTTGTTTCCAGAGGGAAGTCGACCTGACAGTATATTGTGAGCAATGAGACTACTATTCTTCATTACTAACAATCCCCCCCCCCCCATCTTAGTATGTAATGTTATAGCCTGTCAACTTCATGTGTAGCACTTCCTAATGTGCCCACAATTTATACATACGATCCAAAGCATATGGATATTGCAGGCAAGGAAAGGTTTATAACACGGTCTCACCACTCGGCCTCCAATCGTCGCGTGTGATATTAACGAACTATAGTGTTATCATTTTTTTTTTTCAGGTGAAATGGGGCGTCTACAAACATTACTTAATGAGTGTGGGTGTTCTGGCATCTGTCGTTACGGTGTTAATGAACCTTGTCCTGCAGGTGTTCCAGGTTGGCTCCAACTATTGGCTCGCGGAGTGGTCCAATGATGAAACTATGGTAAATTATTTTCAGAACTGTAATGTTATAAAATCATACCTTACATGACTTTATCTTTATATGAAATTAGCGCATTTTAACATTAATTAATGTTCTTCTTTTAAAAAGTCATTATACTATAAAATGTAGCCTGTGTCACCGCACCTTTTCAAAACGCACGATTTTGTGCTTTGTAAATGGGTTTTTGCGGAGTAGCTCCTGTTGCCTGCTGATATATATCCTTAAACCCTTGAATTATATCAATAAATCTAGTATAAATAAAAAAAAAATACATACTCTACCTTCTAAATTACGCGAATTGTATGCAAAACTTAACTTGACCCTTAATATATAATGATGTTCATTGTAGTCAGACTTCATCTTTTGTTTTATTAGATACTGATAAAGTTGAAGTTGAGAATACCCTTATGAATTTGAAATCTTCAAGTGCTTCTGGTTGGGATGCAATCCCTACAGCATTTCTAAAACTGGCCAAGGACGTACTAGTACCAGTTATAACTCACCTAATTAATCTTTGTTTTGGGAAAGGTATTTTTCCTGTATCTCTTAAAAAAGCTATTGTAACACCTGTGTACAAGAGTGGTGACAGAGACGACGTTAACAATTATAGACCTATATCTGTATTAACAGCTTTTTCAAAAATCATGGAAAAAATTATTAATAAACGAATTATTAGCTATCTTAATAAATACAATATCATATCGGACTGTCAGTTTGGTTTTAGACAAAATATATCTACGGAGGATGCTGTAACAGCTTTAACAACTTTAATAGTAGACCAACTAGATAAAGGAAATAAATGTCTAACGGTATTCTTAGATCTAAAAAAGGCATTTGATACTGTCTCTGTCCCCATTCTTGTACAAAAAATGGAACGGATCGGTATAAGGGGTGTACCTTTGGCTCTACTTAGTGATTATTTAACAAACAGGAAACAATGCGTTAAGATTGATAAGTATACTAGTGAATACTGCAATGTAGATTTTGGTGTTCCTCAGGGAAGTGTGCTCGGGCCTACGCTCTTCTTGATTTATATAAACGATTTGCTAAACATACAATTAAATAATGCCAAGATCTTTTCATATGCTGATGACACCGCCATTGTTTTTACTGGCAAAACATGGAATTCCATTCGTACGAATACTCAAAAAGGACTAACTATAATTGATCTTTGGCTAAAAAATAATTTACTTACTCTAAACTCTCTAAAATCGAAATATATATGTTATACCATAAATAAATCAACGCAACCATCACCAGAATTTCAAATTATCATTCATTCTTACAATTGCAATAAAGTAAATGGTGACTGTTTATGTCCATCTATTGATAAAACTACTTCTATTAAATATCTTGGTATACACATGGACCAGCACTTATCTTGGCATTCTCATTTAGAAGCAGTCAGCACTAGAGTCCGAAAGCTAATTTGGATTTTTATTAAGCTGCGTTATGTGGCATCCAAATTTTTGATCAGATCAATATATATATCCCTAGCGCAATCTATATTGATGTATTGTATTCCTGTATGGGGTGGAGCTACTAAAGTAAAATTTTTAGAAGTGGAAAGATCCCAAAGAGCTCTTCTAAAACTGGCCTACTCTAAACCACGTATTTATCCCACTGACAAACTTTATCAAGAGTGTGATTTATTGTCAGTAAGAAGGATTTATATACTATATGCAACTTTAAAAAGACACAAAAGTGTAGGACTAGACTTTTCTTATTTATTAAAACGTAGGAAAAACATAACTCTGATGGAAAATAACGTTAGGACAAGTTTTGCTATGCGACAATATAGTAAACAATCAACACATTTATACAAGTTATTAAATAATAAATTAAATATCTATAAACTAAACAAATTTGATTGTAAAGATGTAATTACTAAATGGTTAAAAACTTTAAATTACCACGAAACAGAAGAACTTTTCAAATATTAAAATATTGATATATATATATATATATATACACACCACACAACAGTTGGTACATGGCGCACGTACATGCACACACAACACTCACACGCACGTACATGCACACATACACACACACACACACACACACACACACACACACACACACACACACACACACACACACACACACACACACACACACACACACACACACACACACACACACACACACACACACACACACACACACACACACACATATCACACACATGTATGCATGCACACACACGCATGCATGCATTTAGATATACTTATTACTAATATTAGATAATGTTTATGTCTTAATTTCATGGTACTATGATTTATGTATTTGCATGGTTATGGAGGAGCGTGACCTTCTGATACAGGTGATAACACTTACTAGAAGGTCACAACAACGATCTTAGTATTGTATCAATTTTGTTACGAAATAAATATTTTTCATTTTTCATTTTCATATATGTACACAAGGTTTGTTTTACAACGTGTAAAAAGCTGCCTTTCTTATTTCTCAGCAGTACACGATACGCACTGTAAATTAATAAATACCAATATACAAATAATATTTTTATTGGATTTTAATATTTTATCTCTCTCTAATTGCGCCACATTCCATAAATAATGCTCATGTGTAATTTGTATCCAGATAGTCAACGGTACCGTAGATACGAACAAACGAGATATGTATCTAGGCGTGTACGGCGGCCTCGGCATCGGACAAGGTAAGTCGTACACACTTCACAAAAATAATTGGCTATAATTAAAATCGACTAATTTTACATTTGTTGCTAACGAATTGTCACTAATAATGATCGGCTGTTTACTTATGATGCCTTCTATTAAAATAAAAAAAAATATAGGTTTACTCCCCACTTTTGATGCTGCGGCTTATTATTATTTTTGAATTTTATTAAAAAAAAATATATATCAAGTAAAGTTTCTCAGTTGAACCTCTACAAACGTTTTAATATTTATATTTTTTATTTTGAAACCTCAAAATATTTAGATTAATAAAAGTTCCAGAATCTCCTAACTAAGCTTCTGAGTATATCTTATGTTTTTAATTTGTATGTGATATTTATTTATGACCAATGTATTCAATCTCAAATCAATATATGAGATTTTTATATGCAATAATAAAAAAAAATACTAAAAATACTTTGAGATGTTCTCAATAATATAGAGTAAATATATCTAAAAACACAAACTTTGGGACGCAGGAAGTGTTGAAGTGTCCGTCATCCAGTCTAACGTTAGTGTTGTAACAGTACGAGTTTAAAAGTATATTCTGTTGGCTTAAATACCGCAAACATGTTAAATAACTTAATCGAGTCGAGTAAGGGATTTTGAAAAGTACTAGTAGTAATGAATTGGAATGAATTGAATGGCTAGAAAATGTGTTTGGGGGTGCAAAATAACCCCCACAATTATCATATGAATCAGTCATTAAATATTATTCACACTAGATTAAAGAAGCGAGCTTTATTATTAATAGTATTGATAGATCGAATGTCAAGATAATTGACAGTAGAAGGTAATAACAATTAGATTTATATACATTTGTAATTAAAAAATATTGTTGCTTGTCATTTTTTACACATTGTAAAGTCCGCTCTATCGGAAATATACTGTTAACTACATAAATATATACCTGTATAGTGTTCCGTCTGTATGCAGTAAATTGGTCATAATAAACCTAAATATATTTAGATCATATTATCTTATTTTATTAATAAAATTGTACTCGTGTCTAGACAATGACTATACATGGGAAATTTTTAGAAAAAAATTATATGATAAATCTTAATAAGAGCAATACAAACCAAAACAATAATTTTCTGTCTGTTTAATTGTTTGTTTGTTCCGGCATCAACTACTGCGCCGTATTGGGAGCGTTCAGTTGTGTTCCTGAAGATGTAACTTAAAATCTGGTATATGTTTTATCTTGATATCTATCAAATAGTCTTGTCCATTGATTTTCCTACTTCTGAAATCCATGCATACGAAGTAAAGACGGACAAAAAGCCAGTAATTTATGCTTTTGCACACATTAAAAAATGTCTACAGGGTGGACTTAATGCCTGATGGCATTATCTACCAGTTAACCGTTGCGTTAATTTAATATTTTATTATATTATCTCCAATACTAAAACAACCCATTGTATCGTCCCACTACTAGAAACGGGTCACTCTCCATTAGAAGGAAAAACTAACCCTAATGTCTACTACACTTTAACCATTGGCTAAAAAGCTTGACCATTATAGGGATATTTATTTTATTTTTACCCCATTGTCAGGTGTTAAGAGCTATATCACGTTTATACAATATGCCGCAACAGCAATATATACTTATGTATTTTTTCTACGAAGTATAGGAATAGTATTTTAACAGTTTAGGTTTTAGTTAACAGTTTATTTCCGGATTAAGACTCGCAATGATATTAGACCGCGGTGTTGGCTATCGTACTCATAGTCTATTAATTACATATGTACAGGATTAAATTGAATATATATTAATATATATAGATATACTACATAAATTGTATTATATTTTCTGTCCCTAACTGTGACATATTCCTTTGTGAAATTGGATTGATAGTATATTACAAATCATATAATGTTTTTTTTTTTTTGTGGAACATAATTTTAGTTTGTTTTTTATATTGTGGATATTTTAAACATTCAATTACATCCTGTATACATAAACGTATCAATAATGAATACATTGTTTATATTTATTAATATTAATTTACAAATTCTCAATTTTGTTACTACATGTTACTATAATTAAGTGCCTATATTTTTTCATTTCATTCATTCATTCTTTCTCATTCAACTACTACTTGGGACCAAATGATTATTATGACCTCATCATTGCATGTTTTACTATCATGAATAAAACATTTTGCATGATATGCATAACTTTGAGTAAATATAGGACATGATTATGACATAATAAATTTTTGTTTTAGTTTAATTACCTTTACCACCTGTTAATGACTACTTATAGTATTATTTCTTGTATAATTTTATTTATTAATATTTACTGCATGATGTTTTTGTCTTCTTTTTACATTAGATTTAAAATCATACAATAAAAATTCACACGTCTCCTCGCCATTTTATTGCAATTTGCAATCTCTTTATTTTTTGTAATAATATCGCTTGTAACTCCAACTTCGTTATATTACATTGATAATTTTATACCGTTTAATCATGTCAGTGGAAATAATAATTACGCTTTATGTACATTATCATAAACGACGGGTTATTATGAGGACAGCCCGTAGTATCATTTACACACGTGACGCTCAGAGCAACACTTCTGGAGGTGTTTCGTAAATTTTGTTCAATCTGTTTTTTTTTTAATAAGAATTGCTGGAAGCTATGCTCATAATGCAATCTTTAATGTATGCAAAATTAACACTACTGTATGTTGATATTGCAAATAAGCTTTTTTTAATAACAGGCTAGACTGTTATAATCTCATATTGAGAGTTTAATGTCAATAACTTAGCTCCTAAACATAAATGAGATGAACATAACGTTTTTGTTGAATTTATGATATGATATTAATGATTTAACTCTTGAATGCGAGTATTTTTTACAATGTAAACCTGATGTCAATCGCTTGGCAAAAGCGAACACGCAAGTGGGAAGGTGCCCGCTGCGGTTGCTCTGTAGCGTGTAGTGAAGCGTGTGGTGCGCGTGCCCGAGGTGTTGTGTGGTGAGTGTGTGGCGTGTGGCGCAGTGGTGTCGGTGTCGGTGTCGTCGCTGGCGCTGTACGTGGGCGCGCTGCGGGCGGCGGGCGCGCTGCACGACGGGCTGCTCGCCGGCGTGCTGCGCGCGCCCACCATCGGCTTCTTCGACTGCACGCCCGTCGGCCGCGTGCTCAACCGCTTCAGCAAGGACGTCGACGTGCTCGACAATGTGCTGCCCATGACGCTCAGGGGCTGGACCACCTGCTTCTTTGCGGTACGCAGCGCTTATGCCGCACAGTGCGACCACCAGTAGATCGACTTCACACCTACGCTCGTCAAATATATAATCCCCCACGAAAATAATCATTCTTAATATTTATATCTGTCCATTTGAACATTAACTTTTTTTAAATATTTATGACAAGAAATAAGATTGCAATATACATATTTGTATAGGTGTTACGTTTATCATGAACATCACAATGCGTGTATTACATAACAAATAATTAAATTTGTCTTGTTATAATTCAAAAATAAAAAAGATACTATGTGCTGACGTAGAGGTGTTTAGTTCGTTTGAAGTTAACCTACTGGTTTTCTTAATACTCGTATTATATATTTGAGTATCATTCCAAACTGAGCGTTAAAGACCAGTGTGTAATAAAAAATACGAGTATAAATATAATTACTATTTGAATTCAACTGATTTGGGATCAGTTTATAAATTATTATAAACGTTTAGGGCCATGTGTTTTGTTTTATTTTTATTACGTTATAATTAGGTTGCTTGATAGGCTTCATAATTCGCGCTTAGGAAGTATACTAAAATCTAATTATGCATGTTTACGATCTAACCTAGCCATTCAAGTAGATTGCGATCAACCCCTGGCACCATTAGCCTGTTGCGCACCTCAGTAGTATTTCGTTAGATCTTAGACAACCGCTTCACCTACATCGACTATCAATAAACCGTTGCCCCATAAAGAACATAAATAATGTATTCATTATTAAAAAAAAAAAAAAACACTCCAAACGCTTAATGATGCTAACCAGATGATAAAGTGTTGGTGGACGTTGTTGCAGCGATATCGTCGTTTTTTGCGGATTTAATGCCATATTTGGCATGTTGGCGGGCGTCGCGGTACATCCACGCTCTCTTGTTGGACAATGTGTTAAAGGCCCCGTTGCAATTCTTCGAAGTGACACCGGTTGGCAGGATACTCTCTAGATTTTCTAAAGACATCGACGTCGTGGACACGTTGCTGCCCTCGCAGTGCTCAGACGTGATATATTGCGCGTTCGAGGTAATCTCTCCCGTAACAAACCCCTTCCTTCACCCTTACAAAGATTCCCCCGTTCCTTTTGGTGGGTATTGTTTTGTTTTGTTAGTTTTGTTTATATTTATTGTTTCCCTTTCCAATTTGGCGTTCAGATATGAATTATTGCTTTTTTGGGAGTCTTCACTTCATGGGTTTATTTCATCTGCGTGTGTTCGTCATTATTGCTACATTGTATTTGCAATTTTGGTGTAAAATTATTTTTTGCGTAAAATAAAATTCGCATTTACGGTACATAAGTTCCATTAAGTATAAGTTATCAAGTCATCACTAACATTTGTAAACTGATCCCATGTACCTAAAGTCATTCTTTAATGTAAAGAATATCATGTATTTTTCTACATATAATAGATGTTTTGACACAGAGTATATATAAATGCTTCTTATTTTATCCAAGCGATATAGTAGTCTAGGGACATTTTAATATATTTTGAGTCGTAATGTATAAAAATGTCTAATTAGTTAATTATATTGCTTTATATTTTAACCCGCACTATCTCTTCCTAATTTAACTTATCGATTGCCATTATAAATATCCATTATATGATCTCGTATTTGTAATACAGGTACTTGGAACATTGTTCGTCATAAGCTACTCGACACCGATCTTCTTGGCAGTGATAGTGCCGATCGGAGTGGTATACTACGTGATTCAAAGGTTCTACGTAGCCACGTCGAGACAACTGAAGCGGCTCGAGTCCGTGTCTCGCTCGCCTATATACTCACACTTTGGAGAGAGTATCACCGGCGCAAGTACTATACGGGCGTATGGTGTTACACAGAGGTAAGTTAATTATTTTATTGTACGTATTTGTTGTACTGATCTACGAAACAATTGTAATTGTACAATAAGCAACTAATGGGGAGACAAGCCAAGCCACTCAATTCTGAGCCATGCTGATATATTTTACAAAATTAACTTGATCAAGGTGCAGAACCCAAATGTAAATTAACGTTAATACGTCACGTATTTAAAGAAGGTAAATTTTTATTGATATATTGATTTTTAGAATTTCCTCTTTTTTAATCCGTAATAAAAAATACCATGAAAAGTGCAAATAAAGACCTCCGAGAAGAGTTCGAGAGAGAAGAAAGAGAGTTAAGAATAAAACCACTTTGAAATACTGATCTTTCATTTGGATATCATATTTAATAATTATAAAAAAATTAAGAATAGTTATAGTTAACTAATATAAATAGTAATGTCTAGTGACAGTTGACAGGATAAACTTTTTTTTTTCTTATGATAGAATGGCAAACAAGCTGACGGCCCCTCTGATGTAAAATAATAATCGTCTTCTATAGACATTAACAGCACCACGGATGTCACAGAATACACTGTACTCTACCACGGTACTCCTCGCGCGTTGCCGTTCCTGAGGATTATGTTAAGCCTCCGTACCTTATCATTTCACTAGCATATTTACATAATCATTCCTATTATTAGGTTTATAAAGGAGTCGGAGCGCGGCGTGGACCACAACCAGTCGTGTTACTACCCGAGCTGCATAGCCAACAGGTGGTTGGCAGTACGGCTGGAGATGATCGGCAATCTGATCATATTCTTCGCCGCAGTGCTCGCGGTCCTCGGCCGGGAGACTATCAACCCGGGCCTCGTTGGTCTCTCCATTAGCTACGCGTTGCAGGTAACTACGCTTGTGATTGTTACAATTGTTAATACTACTACTTATATATAACATAATCAAGAGTGAAGAAGGAAGCCTTCAAAAATGAAGACACCACGCCGGCATACACAGACCATCAGTGTATGCCGGCCGAAGAGCCCAGTGACCCGGAGGTCGTTGCCTCCGGAGTAGAAGCCGGGGTAGTGGGGTACACCCCGAGACCCCTACCTCGCCCGCCCACACATCATCCGGCGGGCAAGAGATGTCCATGTTGTTGTTGTTAATAATATGAGTCGTGTGAAGGTGGCGCCCTCTAGTTACATATTCTAGGTCAGCGATTCCTAAAGTGAGTTCCGCGAAACCTAGAGATTCCGTAAAAGAGTCACCAGGGTTCCACAAGATTATTCATACAGTGAAACAATTTCATTCTTCACATTTAAAGTTAAAGGAAACTATAAAGTGCTATACTTTATAAATATTTCTAATAAAAACTTTTGTTCTTATTTAAATTACAGTGTTTTTGATTTGTAATCATTTGATATGGGGTTCTATAAAATAAAAAGTATTTTATGGAACGCCCAACAAATGTTGGACGTTCCGTTATCTTAAAAGTTTAGGAAACCCTGCTCTAGATTATCGTTCAACTTATCGCTTAAAGCGTCACACGGGTTTTACTGATGAATTGCAATTAGCTCATGGGATTAATATTTTAATAAATGTCAATGACTAACATCATAGTTGGCAATAAATGCTTGAAACTATTCTTTAAAATGTATGCAGAATAAGAACAAATATTCTTATCTCACGACTTTATTCCATTAAAAATATTTGTCTTGTGTTTTCGTATAAATTAAAATAGAAAAGTAAATAAAAATAAAAGCAATGTAGTAAACAAATTACTAATTTGTCTTTGAATAAAAATAATACAAAGATTCGGTAATTTTATTATCTCAGATCACTCAGACATTGAACTGGCTCGTGCGAATGACCTCAGAAGTAGAAACCAACATTGTGGCTGTTGAAAGGATAAAGGAGTATGCAGAAACTGAACAGGTACGGAACCATTAAACAACCCAATCAATTATACGCACACTAGTGTAATTATTTTCTTGTTTAGTTCTTGTGATCGCATTGTCAGTCAATACGCTTAGATTATACAGATAGTGTCTTCTAGATAAATGCTTCAGAAAAAGTAGGTCAGCTTTTTCATACAATTTTGCGTGATAAATAGTTACGAGTGTTTCCTTTATAACTTCTATATTTATTTTGTATTATAATTATTGCATCTTTTTAATGCTTAAAAATTCATTTTATTCAAGATATATTATGTGCGTAAGTATATAGAGCACTAGTAAAAAAAACCAGTCAGTTAATTAGCTGACAAAGAATGGACCTGATTTTGAGACTCGATGCTCTGTCTATATAATGTAAAGCAGTTTTTCAATCTTTTTCATGATGCGACTCCTTTATTATGTAATAAAATCTCGCGACCCCCTTAGTATGTAAAAATATCTTGCGACCCTCTACGGTTTCGAATGTGTATGAATTTTATTATAGTACAATTATGAAATCCGTACAGTTGTATTTTATTCAAAATTAAGTATCAATTAAATTAAATAAATAATACATAATAAAGTATCTAAAACAGACATGTAATCGATGTCTGTTATAGATACTTCATTATTTATTATTGATTCAATTGATGCATTTACGGAACTGTTGATTTTTCACTGCTTCGCTACCTACGCGACTCCTTTGTAGAGGCTCGGGGACCCCCCCAAGGGGGTCGCGCGGCCCACACATTAAAAACACTGATCTAAAGTAATACGTTACGTACGCAATGTTTATAGATTGGTATGTAATGTAAGTTGATAAGTGATGAGGAGCGCTTGTTAGGAGGCGGCGTGGACGATAGCCGGCAGCGGGCCCGGGTCGACGTGGCCGGAGACGGGCGCGCTGCAGCTGGAGCGGCTGTCGCTGGGCTACCGCGCCGGCGAGCCCGCGCTGCGCGACCTCACCTGCGCCGTGCCGCCGCGCGACAAGCTCGCCATCGTCGGCCGCACCGGCGCCGGCAAGTCCACGCTCACGCTCGGACTCTTCCGGTACATGCTACGCCACTCGCTTCTATTTTTTTTTTTAATGGATGATAATGGAATGACAACCCCACCCGCGCCACTGGTATACACCGGCGGGGCACCAGTGAGGAATGATAGATGAGGATGAAGCAGGTTAGTTAGCCCATTGTGACGAATTCAACAAGAATTGTTCACGATGGTTTCCAGGGGGAACCACGTGGAGGTCGACCTGATAGGAGCATATTGCTAGCAATGTCGAACTCCATTGCTAACAATCCCTTTCCCCCCACTCGCTTCTATTGATATTTTTTATTAATACTTATCATAATGAAGCGTGAGCACTTGCGCCAAGCAATAAGAACCCACGTGTTTAAATCCACTTATAACTTTATTTCCTTTATAATTCACAACAATTTCCTCAGCCATATATCTTACATTTTTCATACGCACCAAAGTCAATCATCCAGCGCCCTCTGGCCTACTCAACCGTAACTACTCTCTTTTTGTCTATGCCTAATGTTGCATTATTAAAAAATAATAATTGTGGAAACTGGAGACACAAAACAATTAAACTCAACAGCTTCTGTTCACTTGTTGGGCCCACTCCTTGTACAGGTTTAGGGGGAAAAGGACTGTTAGAAATGGTTTGGATCGGCCCTAGCTATCAGGTCGATCTTCACGCAGTTTCCCCCAGAAACCTCTTGGTCAATTCTTGTCGAATTCTTCACGATGGGCCGACTGACCTGCCTTCATCCTCATCTATCGTCTATCACTGGTGCCTCGCCAGCGTATATCGATAGTGCAGGCGGGGTTACCATTCCATGGTCACCCATAAAAAAAGTCCTTGTACAGTGTCTCAAAGTATTGAGAAAAGTAAAGGAATTATAGTAGAGGTAAAATTAAAAAAAAATGCAGTTTATTAGCACAAACTTTCGATGGTTGCAACAATAAGTTCGGGTAAGAATATAATTGTACCTGTAGTTTTATTTTTGTATCATATGTAAATCGTCACCTAAACTATAAAAAAATTAATAAAATAAATTATTACAATATTATTTACAATACAAAAATATGTTTCAACCGTGAAGTAGTTGTGTTCGCATTGCTGTTTCGGTTTAAAGGGTGGGATATGGCAGTGAATATACAGGGTATAGAGGAATAACACTTTAGGCTTCGGGAATGGCAACGCATGGGAGGTATCATGGACGTAAATATACTCTGTTATGTTCATGGTACTGCTCATGTCTATAGGCGACGGTTACCACTTTCCATCAAATAGACCGACAACTTGTCTGCCATTCATTCTAATTTCGTATTACAGATAATCACGATAAAACTAAATAATGACAATATATTAAGTACTGACTAGAAAAGTATATTAACAACGTATTTGTTCTAACAGGATAGTGGAAGCAATGAGCGGGAAAATATTGATCGATGGGATCGACATATCGACGATAGGACTGCACCAGCTACGTTCACGCATCACTATAATCCCTCAAGACCCAGTGTTGTTCTCTGGCACATTGAGGATGAACCTCGACCCCTTCGAAGCATACACCGACGAACAACTTTGGCGGTCGTTAGAGCATGCGCATCTTAAGAACTTCGTGAAGGGTTAGTGCAATATTAATACAACAAAACTAAACAGCGATATTTTGTATTGCCCAATGGTACCATGAAGGTCGCCGCACTGAACTATTTACAAAATAAACTTCAATTTTTTTCTTATACATCGAATTATAATATATATATATAGATATATATATTATATAGAATATACATTTACATACATATCTGTCACGCCTGTCTTGCATTAGGGTAGGCAGAGACAATGGAACGCCAAATGCTTCGATTCAAACAAACCTCTTCCGATTCTTCCACATTCATCAATCTTTTCATACACGCTCGCCGGTTACGGGTACTTTTAATTTGGCTCTTCTTCAGCACGTCGCCTTGGTGGACATACGTCCGTCTAGAGCGGCCCCTACCGACATCTCCATTCATTCTTGCTCGATAAATCTCTTTCGTAATTCTTCTTTCATCCATCCTATGATCCCATAGAATATATATATATATATATATATATATATATATATATATATATATATATATATATATATATATATATATTGTTTCTGTAATGTCTCGGCCATTTTTGCCGAAGCCCACACAGATGTTTTAGATGCTTTAGTAAAAAGACTGCTTCATTTTTATTTTCCTATTAATATTATAAATTCAAAAGTTTGTAATAATGAATAGATAGATTGATGTTTGTTACTCTTTCACACAAAAAACTACCGAACAGATTTAGATGGAATATGATACACAGGTAGGTTATATTTTAACTTTAAATTGCACTTGACCAATTCAAGATTACCCATTAAAAGAAACACTGCATCACAGAAATCGTCAATAATAATAAGCTGATTGTTATTGCGTGAGCACAGGTCTGCCGTCGGGCCTGCTGCACGAGATCTCGGAGGGCGGTGAGAACCTGTCGGTGGGGCAGCGGCAGCTCGTGTGCCTAGCGCGCGCGCTACTGCGCAAGACGCCACTGCTAGTGCTCGACGAGGCCACCGCCGCCGTCGACCTCGAGACCGACGAGCTCATACAGGTACCCACGTCAATAAATGCTCACTACCATTAATCTGTGGAGGGTAGTTACACAGGTGTGTTGCGAACTCCTTAATTATTTTAAAGAATTTATTTTTATTGTATTTTTAATACTTTTGTTTTTACAATTGTCACATTGCTCTTTTTCGCTGTCATAGTCTGTCTTCCGTAGTTTTCTTTATTATGGTTATTTTCCTTTAAACTCATTGTTTAATTACATCAAATACATCACTATATACAGTCCATAATATCGCCAACACAGGGTGACTATCCTCCAAGGGTGTCAAGAATCATTAGACCGCCTTTGTTATACACGACGGCCTCTGATGTTTATTTATTTACACATACACTAAACAAACTTTTCATTTAAATAATATCATTAGTTAAATACAATCGCTCTTTAAGAAAAATAATATAAATTATACATATTACATATAACAAAACAATATAATAATGAAGATTACACAATTATGTAATAACATTAGATACTATTTTACTTTTAATTTAGAATAAAAAGAAAAACATATAAAAAACAAAATGAATGTAGCAGTGTTTGGGCAAAGGACCTAACTCAACATATGTCGCAGTTCCAAATGTTAAATATTAATGAATGAATGTGAATGTCCCATTAAACACTGTATATATTCCCAAGCTATGAATACTAAACATACCCTCGTGAAAAATGAAACTTCAAAACTGAATTATTACTATTGTGTGTTTAGAAAACGATTCGTTCGGAGTTCGCGTCCTGCACGGTGTTGACGATCGCTCACCGCCTCAACACTATAATGGACTCGACCCGCGTGATGGTGCTGGACAAAGGTCAACTCGTGGAGTACGCGCCTCCAGAGCAACTACTGCAAGACAAAAACTCTATTTTCTATAGCATGGCTAAGGATGCCGGCCTCGTCAATTAATATTCAATATAGATTTTTTACCACAACCATAAAATGATCCAAAAAGTGAATAGATATATGTGTAAAATCGTTTAAAGCTGGACATACAGTCAAACTATTACTGTTGTACATTTAAAAATTATGTTAGCGTAGTAGTCTGAAATAAATGCGTCGCAGTTCATGACGTGCTGCCATTGTCCATCTATCCACATTGCACACCGTACGTACCTCAATTAATTACCGCAGGCGTTGAATCGCATTTAGTAAATAAGGAACTATGAAATTAATATATTCAGATGGCGTCATCACAATTGCACCGTATACGTCAAATGTGTGCCCACACATTACGGTATTCGCCCGCACTGATGTAATCTGTATACTCATTAAGCGTTTTACTAGAATACAACACGGATAGATGTGCGAGGTCGCGTGTAATTTCATACGAAGATCTCAAACTGACTACTGTGGCGCTTGTGTCATTTAAGCGTGCGTTCACCTTTAAACTTATTATTTTCAAAATTAATTTATTCTACGATGAATCACTGTGCATATAACGCTTACAATATTTATCGGTCGCGTTTATAGACGGTACAGTCATATTGGTTTGATACCACTCTTGTTAGTCGAATCAATAGTATATTGAACAACTTGTCAATCTTGTCTGAATGTTATAATTTATACAAAATATCAATTTACTTTTTAGATCATTTATGGTAAAAGAATGTGGAGATTATAACTAATTATGAACTAAACAATACAAATAGTGATCGTGTAATATAATGATGTGAGTGTAACTCTACAAATAGTACTGAGTTGTATAATATTAGAATTATATAATGAGACAAAACATGGTGAGTTAAGCAGCTAATGTAAAATAATTATAGTATTTGCTTTGATTATTTATCACGATTCAATTAAACTTTCTCATACTCTGATATTTACTCAATCATAATAAAGGTCAAAAAATTAAAAAGCAAATCGAGTTTATACTATTTCATATTTAGTTTAATTTAAGCATGGAATAGATGAACAATTGTCATTTTCTCTGTCACTACAACTGTGATTTACAGGCAATATTACTATGTTTGATTATGATTAATTAACAAGAACAGAATATCCAACTATTTGCCCAGTTATAATAATTTTATTGTTGAATCTGGTATTCGTTTCATTAAGGTTTATTGATTTTTTTCATTACTATGTTAGTTTTGTTACCGATAATATACTATGTTAGAATTGTTAAAGTTATTGAACGCAATTTTAGATGCAACTATATTTATATCACATAATTTTTTAACTTAAAGCAGTTCGCTCCTCAATCTTGAAAACCCATTTGCCTTCTCTTATATCTGGTTTTTCTAAATTTCAAGGCATTTTATATTACTATAATATTATTAAAAATTCTTCTGAATCGCATCTACGTACTGTTTTTTAATCTAACCAATCGTCTTATTCGCGAACTCGACGACTTCCAGCCACCTGAACAAGCTGGCCATCGAAAGCGTTTTAGTGTCGTAGACTTCATACATAATCGAGATATGGGCGGTACTACAATCCCTCCAGCGGGGCCAGATTGATTAAAGGTGTATTGAAGTGTATATACAGTAAAGCTACAATGTCTATCCCAGTAACCAGGGTACGAAACCCATCCCAGTGCAGAAGTGTGTAAAACTTGTAAATAAGGGTGACGTGGTATATGCTTATTTTAATTTTATTTTATCACATTAATCCTAAAATTCATATAATTTAAACCTAAAAAGTATTATATTCTCGAATTTATTGTTTTAAAATAATATTGTATAAAAAATTGAAAATATTGTTAATTAGTGAATTTTGATCAAAAAAATATTTCAATTAGTAATAATTTAATGAATAAGTAGTGTAATATAACATTTTTCATCATTTTATACATCTGACTTTACAAAAAAAAGCATTTAGTCATATACGCATTAGGTCACAAAATACAGTTTGTCAGAAACACTGTGGACACGATCGCAATTCTTTTTATAAAAATTAACGAAACTCATTTAGATTCATGGTTTCCAATAAAATTCACTTTTCACAACTTTCTTAAAAGTTTTACATCGATATTATTTTTATTGACTAAATATAATAACAAAACAACAAATTTACTGTATTACAATAATTTACAATCAAAATATAAGTGACGACGGGCGTATTATGACTACCTAATGTGCACATGACCGAATAAGTTTGTTACGCATGAAGCATGTAAACGTACACTATAGTGCTCAGATTCTTGTTTTAATATATTAATTATTATTACATATGGTTTGTCTCAAATAACTTTAATATTTTTATAAAAGATAAGGTTAAGCAACGTCAACTGTATTAAAAAAAAATCATTTAAATATGAAGGCATTTGTGTCCTTTTTAGTTGTCTACTTTATTTAGCATTGTCTCTGCTGATATATAATTTGAACTTATTTTGTAATATAAAATACATAAACCTATTGTAATGTATATATGCACATGTATACATAGTTCTTATAAGAGAATCAAAATTCAAAGTAAATCTACCCACTGCAATTGTAGTCCTAATAAAATTGATTAGGATGTAGATTGTATTATTAAATTTTCTTAATAGAACATAAAAAGATTAGTCCAAAATACATGAGCAGGTAGGGAGCATAGGTGGACATTACCCGTTATAGAAACCCCATTGCCTCCCTAGAAATTAGTGGAATTTTGCTATCATTAGATTTACTGAAATTCTATTCAATCTTCCGAGAAAATGGTATATATATTATTTAAAAAAAAAATAACATTAATAAATTTACCTATTTTATTTAACCATACTACCGCTATTATAGAGACAAGACTGCCCATTACAATTTTGCATTTACATATTTTATACATCACAGTAAAGTTATTTATATGTACATATTCTACTTCTGTATATACATATTTTAATGATTGTCTGAGACAATACACACAAAAACGTACTCGTATATAGTGATTTGTTAATCTCAATACACAATGACAAGTTTCCTCATTCTCCTAATTTTTATTTTATTTAGTTACCTCTGTTTATTTTATTAATTTCATAAAATCTGATTTATTAGAATTATACACATCTGACTAATAAAATTGATTTACTTCTTAATTAATATTACAGGTAATTAATATTTTTGAAGAGGTGTTCTTTTTTTTTGTAATAGCACGTCATGTGACATGAATACATTCTCCAGTATTAACAATATTCTGTCATCATTTATAAACGAAATAAAAACATGGTTAATTTTATGTATTCACTATCTGATCCAACAGACAGACGTGCGTTGTCCTGACCAAATTTTAAATATTTTTTTTTCTCTAATAACCGTAATCTGACTGTAACGAACATTAAGAAAAATAACCAAACCGATCCAGTGGTTACTCTGATTAATAAAATATATATATACCTACTTACACGTCATGCCCTATACAGAGTAGGCAGAGAATCTAGCGTCAAAACCTTTAGTCTTACATAAGATCTATCTATGTACTTAATAATTCTATTAATGGCCATATTTCGTTCATTTCGCTTCAAATCTTGGCCTTTTGTTACATCTTTGTTATATTTTATATTTGTGTATTATAATTAAAAGACTACCCTATTTAATGACATTATTTCTATAACAAAGTATGTATAGGTATATATTTGTTTTGTTTTTATCAATTGTGATACTTCAGTATAATTTTATGTGTATGTTAAAATATGTACATATGTAAAATATAAAAATTGAAGTAACAAATTGTCATACTATGACATTGTTTTATATAATACTTAACAGGGCCATTATTAAAGTTTTCTATAAGTTTCTCTGACAAACAATTTCACCTCAAATTATAAGTACTTATAGCAGAATAATAATAAATTAAGAAATAAATCTCGTAACCTTAGGTATATGTACTTACAAGCGTATACTTAACACATTATTAATTTTGTAAAGTAAATCTCGACAATACTTAGAAGAATTTGAATTTTAATAAACATTTATGCTACTAATTTTATAAATGCGAATGTTTGTGAGGATGGATGAATGTATGTTAGTTTTTCATGCAAAAAGTACTGATGATTTAAATTTGGAACACGGATAAATAGGATATTTCATATGTTTTACGCGGGCGAAGTCGCGGGATTCAGCTAGTACAGATATAGAGACATATATAAATCAATTTTATCCCCTTCAAAGTACTCCCCCTGTGACATAATGCATTGTATATAGGCTCCTTGAAAGTCCTCTGGTTGTAGGTTTCTCAGCTGCCCCGTCGTAGCTTTTTTTATCTCATTTATGAGTACAATTTGGTTTTTGGGAACAAGAAGAAGTCACACGGGGAGGTAATGGAATTTTTTTATATTCGTGGTGAAGAATAATTTTTGCTTTGAGGCGTCTGAGCACATCGACGTAGAATTTTCCATCAACTGTCTGTTGTTCGTATTTACGTCTGAACGTGGGTCATCTTGAATTTCGCCCTCTCTGAATCTTTTTGCCACTTGTGGACGGTTGGTTCCTTCACAGCATCATCCCCATAAACTGTTCTGAGATCGGCAAAAATTTCACGGCCATTCTTGCCGAGTTTCGAGAGAAACTTGATTACGACGCGCTGCTCTTCAACGGAAGCGGGCTCCATGCCGACGGGGTTTCGTTAAGAGGTAACTTCACAGATGGCGTGACAAGCCAGTTCGCACCGCACGGCGGTCAGACCAGAACTGAAGCATTGTTAGGGACATAAGGAGGGGTCCTGCTACCTGGCCTCCCCACTCCTCTTTCTCGCATTCCAGAACACTTTTATACGAACTTTCCGGACACCTCGTATATAAATGTATTAGTATTATATAATTTGTGAGTACGTTGGTATTTATATACGTATAATTTTTGTAGGTACTTAATGTTTTCTATTTATCACAAATTTCGTATGTTTATAATACACAACTACTGCACAACCGACATCAGAAGGATGCTAACCATTAGAGCGTTGGTTATATCTTGCCTACATTGATGTGTTCGTTAAACTGTCATTTTTGTAATTACCATATTTCTTGCACTGTTAAGGAGATACAAGTGAGTTAAATGCTTGGTGAATGTTTTTACCGAGTGGCGTGTTAGATATTTAGCTATATAAACCAGTTTTTTTTTTTTGTTATAAATTGAAATAAACATTAGATTACTTCTAATAAATTATATATATGTATATTTTCTTTTAATTGTACTCTGTACACATTACCAATTGTGTTAATTTAAAGTTATAATTTAATAATTAACAGGTAAATTATATCCCGGCATAGAATAGACCACCCCTTCTTTTCCTCTGGGTGTCATAAGAAGTGATTAAGGGAGGAAGCAAAGGATAGGAAACAGCGTCCCTCTTAAAACATCTCTAATGCCTAACTGCGGTTGCCAATCCCCCTTCAAGCGTGGCAACAACGGGCAAAACCCCCCTAGCGGGAAGCTTATGTTCAGCAATGGAGAGTTCAAAGCTATGATAATGATAAATATTTAAATAGAAAGATGTATAACATTATATTGAATCATGCATCGTATGGATCATAAAATTTCAAACACATTACTTGTCGTCAAAACAAAGAATCGTTAATTATATGGCTGTGGTGTATTTTCGGTGGAACAATAAACTACCATCTCTGATTTAGACCATTCAGCTGTTATTTTCGTTTTGGGCAATCTGTTCTGGCCAACCTGTCCCTTCCATCCTGTTCATTCCATATAATATATAAACCTTAGATTATATAGATAAGCTCTATCTATATAATCTAAGGTTTACATATAATCTAAGATGTACACGTATTACGTACAATTTATTACACGTGTACAGTCAAATAAATAAAGTTAATTATTAATTGTTAAATAAAATTGTTTAAAAGTTACAGTTATTAAAATTTAGACACATCACAATCATAATTAAAGCATTATTCTATCGCGTACTTATGTATAGTCAAACTACAGCTCTTCGACTTAAAACTAAATGTTCACTAATGCCGGCATTTTTTCTTCCCATTCTATCAATACGTACAATTGTACGTTTTTTTTGTATGTACGTTAATTTTAGTCTATGGTCTATTGTATAGTAATTAACACCGTAGCCAGGAGACCTACCATGAAATGAAATTCCGAATTTTCAGCCTCAATTTCGTGTTTTTGTTTGTACCTAAATCGACCCAGTAAATGGAGCTTAACATTTCATTCATCATAAATCCTATCCTAATAGTCCAGAGGAACGATATTTTAATATTTTTATTAATTTTAAACGGCATGTATTATGTAATTTTAACATCAAATTTCTATTTCGTTCGTCCCCGAAATTTCGGAAAATATTTCATGGTAGATGATGATCCTTCGGATTAGATGCTTTTCCGAAATTTTAGGTAAAAATGTATCACTTGGTAAATTGGAATAATTGTAGAAATTACTAGAGATTAATAAAAACGATGTGAAGAATTTAAGATATCATCATAGAAGAGAGCAACACGTTGGATTAAGATGCATTTTTCAACTCTTGTTGTAGCGGTTACGTGATAAAAGTTATTGAAAACGAGAAAATAGATGAAAAAAATGTGATTATATAAAATTATTTTTGTACTATTGTAAACTAAAAAAAATTATATTTGTGGAGAAATAAAAATAATTTATTCCTTTTAATCTAAATTTCAATCATAATGTTAAATGTTAAAAATATTGCAAATCACATTTATGTAAATGCTAAATGGCCAATGTACAAATGTCTTTACAATTCATTGCTTAATTATCTAGATATTAATTGTTATATAGACTTAGTACATAACAAATTTGATTTTCTTGAATTTTTGAATAAGAAATCACATTTCTATGCCATCTATACTGATGGTTCTAAAAGTACAAACAGTATTTTTTTTTAATGGATGATAATAGAATGGTGACTCCACCCGCGCTATCGGTATACACCGGCGGGGCACCAGTGAAGGATGATAGGTGAGGATGAAGTAGGTCAGTTAGCCCATCGTGACGAATTCGACAAGAATTGTTCACGATGGTTTCCAGGGGGAACCACGTGGAGGTCGACCTAATAGGGCATATTGCTAGTAATGGGGCTATCAAACTACATTGCTAACAATCCCTTTCCCCCCTACAAACAGTATTAGAGCAGCATATCATGATCCACAATAGAAATTCACTAAATGTATTAAATTGGAAGAAAATTGTACTATCTTTACAGCTGAAAATTATGCTATTCTAAACGCTTTAGTATTTGTAAATAACTTTGTAAATATGTTAATAGTTTCTGATTCCAAGAGTGTATTGGAATTTTTATGCAACTGTAATTACTAATTTAAACAAAATTATTTACTTTATGAAATTAAAGATGTGCTGCAAACATTGAGTCGGAGTAAAAACATAGAATTTCTGTTAGTACCCTTGCACAATGGTATATCAGGGAATGAAGTTGTGCATCGAGCGGCTCGCCGAGACCACGATGAGAATCAGTCGGCAATGTTGAAAGTTCCGTTCACAGATTATTACAGACTACTTAAAAGTTATTTAGCAAAAATATGGAAGGAAGTGAAGTAGAGCAGTGCAAAGGCAGTGGGATTTGGTATTGAATAAAAGTAGGTTCTTATAGTGCAACGTAATTATTAGGTTATACACAATCTCATTGAATACAACAGAAAGGTCATTACAAACACAGTGTTACCATAGACCGTAAATCAAAAGGAACTAACATAGAGTGCTAATAGTTTTTTAATAAAGTGCTACTACATTTACAACTTAACAAAGGACCAATGGGATATAACAACTGAAGCTAAAACTAGTAGTAGTACAGTAAAAAAGGAATAATACACATAAATAAATTTCTAAATTTCTGCACACAAACACCTTGTGGACATTCGACGAAATTCCAACAAGTTGGAGACAAATACATTTTTTTATTTGCTAATTTGTACTATATTTTCTTTTTATGTAAATATAATTTATGTTTGCGACTGAAGGACTTGTATCCATGGTCATGAAAAAATTAAAAAAAAAAACTAGTCTAAATTGTCATTTGTCAACTATTTGGTTTGTCAATAATAAAAGTTAAAAAGGATACGAAGTTTATTATAAAAACCGTGTTCCGAATTAATCACTTATTTTCGGTTAAAGTATAGAAAATATTAAATTATTATCATTACAATTCGAATTCTTTTTATATCTGTAGTAATTTCATTAATCAAAGCTAGTTAGCATTTTCAGCAACTACACTACTATATTATTGTTTACAACTAATTTATTATATCGCAGTAAAGTAAGTATCCGCATACTAAAGCTACATAAGAAAAAACGGATGGTGTAAGCAGCATAATGTTTAAGTAGTGAAGCATAATGTTTGTCACCAAGTCAAGTATAAAAAAAACTGCAAAATTTATTACATACTTGAAATTTTCACATTTATATTGAAATATGTAATTTTTTTTTATTCGCCGTGTGTTCCCCGGCATAGAATGGGCTACCCCATCCTTTCCCATGAGTGTCGAAAGAGGCTACTAAGGGAGGGATGGGCAGCAGTGTCTCTTAAAAGCCTCTAAAAGCCTAATTGCGGTTGCCAACCCGCCTACCAAGCATGGCAATTACTGGCAAAACTTCCCTTATGGGGAAGACTTATGTTTAGCAGTGGACAGTTAGTGAGTGAGAAAATAATAAAATATAATTTATGCATTTAAATATCTGAGTCATCCTTTTTTGTATTCGAGTATTTTGCTACTCATAAAAAAAATTATTGAATTGTAATGAGAATTTAAGTTTATTTAGGCAAGTACTCTAGTACTTTGAAGGTACTTCCTTTACTCTCGAGTACCTTTTAAATGGATTTCTGAAGCTTATTTATATTTATAAATAATAAATGTATTACCTTTTGTTCATTTAATATTTTTTTTATAATTAAGGAAAATAATGATGCAAATAAAACATTCAATAAGTGTGACTAATTCTCAATTACTGTGAATACTCAGTTCCTATATTTGAATATATGTCTGAATTCTGTATATTGACTAATCATTTTTATTATTTAATCAGTATTTATTACTTGAGTAATCCTGACTCAGCACTTCACTGTATTGAAACTGTTAACAAATGCCTATAACTAGATATCTCATTAAGGATTATAGTCATGAGAGATAAAATAATTAAATTTTATTATTAAATTTGGATTTCTCAATATCAATTATATAGTTTATAAAATATGTTTCAGAATTTATAATGGAGGTTGCCTTTTTTATAGAATCAGAAGAAATATTTAAAAATGTAAGTAACTTTAAGTATATTATAAAAGAGAAATTAAAAATTTTATGTACCATATTATTCTTAATAAAGATGATGTAGGTACCTACTACTTGTCAACCAATGTATGACATATTTTCCAACTATACCCAGTAGGATGCAAAACAATATCTGTAATTTATTTTGGGGTCTGTTAGTATTCTAAAATAAATCAGGGCCTTTAGACAAGTCGCTTGCCACTTGTCTTGAGGCCCTGTTTATTATAATACAGGACTATGTATATCCAAATTAAATAAAATTTTAATTAAATGATTTATCATTTAATGTTTAATATTGAATGATACATTGCTTGTATGGTAAAGAAGAATCATAATAGATGATTATTAATTGTTAAAATTCTGAGTCCAATCAGGTTCAGTGGTAGGTGGTTGAAATTATCGAAAACTGCTTAAAAAAGATAAATGTCAAATTGTATTAAACTATTTCAAAGCACTAGTTTTGTAATTGCTTGTATGAATAATAATTTTACACTAACTATATAATATACTCATCTTAACTTTTTTGCAGGTAGCACAAGAAATTGTTAATAATTTGTATGGTTCTAATGTAGTGTCTGTTGGTATAGAAACCAATATTCTGAAACAAGCAAAGGATGATCTTAAAAATATATTTTCATCATGTAATTTTGATATAAATAAAGTTAAAGAAGTGTTACTTGGTAAAGGTTGGAATGAAGATAAATTAAAGTATTTTTTTTCCCTACTTGATTCTAGAAATAATGAACTTCTTTATGAAATATTATTATATCATAACAGCGCATTTGGTGACACTGTAGTAAATTTTGATTGGTATTTAAAAATCGTGCTTGGTACAAGCGAGTTAAAAATGTTGAAGTATCCATTACTACAACTTGTACTTTTAACTAATTCCACTAACGAAAGAAAACAAAGAGTATATGATGTAAATAAAAATATTTTGAATAAACTTATAAATATTTTGGAGGAATTGGACGAAATAAAAAGATAATTCGAAATTTTAATTTGTTTTACTGATTAACCCATAAATACCTGATGTTTCAAATTTGATACCGGGGTTATAAATCGCATTGGGCGCCTACAATCGATTATTTTAATATGTCTGTTTACATGTTACCAAATGTTTTTTTCAAATAAATATATAAAAATATCGATTTGATTTTTTTACCATTTTTCCCCATTAGTAAACACAGTACACTTATATATTTTTTAATTTAAAAAATCAGGCTTTTAACTTAGAATGGCAAACAAGCTAAAGGCCCACCTGATGGAAAATGGTAACCATCGCCTATAGATATGAGCAGTACCATGGACATAACTGAGTATACTGTTTCACCCATAACACTCCCATGTATTGCCATTCCTGTGGACTCGGATGTTATTCCTCTGTACCCTGTAAATTCATTGCCACATCCCATCCTTCATATCGAAACACAGCTATGCAAACGTTTAACAGTAGAAATATGAATGGGACACATTATATATATATAAAAGTTTTTTACAATTATTCAGGTAAATCAATTTTATCCCCTTCAAAGTACTCCCCCTGTGACATATGCACTTGTGCCAACGCCGTTTCCACTGTGAGAGCTCCTTGAAAGTCCTCTGGTTGTAGGTTTCTTGCCCCGTCGTAGCTTTTTTTATCTCATTTATGTCCCCCAAATGCCGCCCCCGAAGTACCAATTTGGTTTTTGGGAACAAGAAGAAGTCACACGGGGCCAAATCCGGCGAAAGGGGGGGTGTTCGGTCACCGTAATGGAATTTTTATTCAAAAACTCACGGAACGATCTTGGCGCAATTTTTTTTCATTTGAAGTTCGTTTCTTAGAATTTCGTGGACCACGGTTTTGCCCAAATTAAGCTCTTCAGCCACCTGTCTGACCGTTAAACGACGGTCCCCATTAACACAAGTTCGAATTCTTTCCACGTTTTCGTCGGAATGTGAAGTGGAAGGACGTCCTGAACGTGGGTCATCTTGAACGCTTTCTCGGCCCTCTCTGAATCTTTTTAGCCACTTGTGGACGGTTGGTTCCTTCACAGCATCATCCCCATAAACTGTTCTGAGATCGGCAAAAATTTCACGGCCATTCTTGCCGAGTTTCGAGAGAAACTTGATTACGACGCGCTGCTCTTCAACGGAAGCGGGCTCCATGCCGACGGGGTTTCGTTAAGAGGTAACTTCACAGATGGCGTGACAAGCCAGTTTGCACCGCACGGCGGTCAGACCAGAACTGAAGCATTGTTAATGCGCTTACCTGGCCTCCCCACTCCTCTTTCTCGCATTCCAGAACACTTTTATACGAACTTTCCGGACAACCTCGTATATATTATACTTTGTACATAATTTAGATGCGAGTATTTTATTTTCTTTTTTTTAAACGTAATTAAGTAATAAATCACGACGAACAGTTCAATATAAGCTGGGTTAATTACAAATATTTCATGACAATCGCATTTCGTCGTAAAAATGGTTATTTATTTATAAAAAAAATTTAAAAGTATCTTCTTCAATTATCAGCGGATTAAAAATTTGTACTGATTTCCGGCACCACATTTCGACATTTATTTTTAATCATCTATAAACTATAAGAAAGCCTTACATTAATAATTTGTCATAAATTCTCACTCGTACCTGGGAAATTCCATTTAATCACATACCGTACGTACCTGTACCGCTCAGAAATGACGGCATAATGCTTACTTATTTTCTGATATAGTAATAACCTTCTAAGCGTTATTCACGTTGGTTCATTTCATAGGTTTTTTTTTACATGGGCGTGTAGTCTTTATGTGTAGTACAATTCTCTGGTGCTTCGCCAGCGTATACTAATATACCATACCAAGCGGGTTACTATTACAATTCCATTTTCATCTCTTACAAAGAGGTATTGGCCGAATTAACCACCCATGCGGAGGTCGAACTGGCATTGTTAAAAATCACTTTCTCCCAACAACAGTTGTCAGATTGCATATTGCATGAATTCTTACTAATAATAGTATAATTATACGTAATATTTGGTCATGGAGCGTAGTCGTAGGTCAAAGAAAAATAAGAGTTCATTTTAAATTTTATTGATAAGAGACATTCACACATCAACATTTAGTTTTAATTAAATTGGAATAACATATTAATTATTATTATACAAATTCCAATTGCGGGAATGAGCAAATAAGTTTATACTTTAAAATAATTATTATTTTATACAATACCGTAAACTATAAATATTTATAATATAAAAAAATAATGTCTGCATAATGGAAAAGATTACACACATGTTTACGATACATTTATGGGTTCCTTGACAAGCTGAAATTTTTAATCAATACTTAATGTCTTCGTAAGCACGTAGTCATTTGCATGCTACAAGATATAAAATTGTGCAGTATTAAGACTGCTGGAGAGTACAGGGCTGTGATGAAGTGATACAGGCGTTCGATATGGAATGTCTCATTTGTGTTTACTGCTAATTGGAGTAATTCTCCCAGTCATGCAGATGTGTCACTTTAAATTTCATAAAAAATGTATAAAATTACAAAAATGATTATGAAACCATATTAGACATGCGAGTTATTGTAGAAAAACTGACACTATTGTATAATAATATCAAACTTTACGAATCATCCTAATTGTATAAGGTGGAAACCGATATGAGTACCTACTAATGGCAGCCCTCATTATCTGACTACCTCATCTAACTGTTACACATACTACAAATCTAAATGTCACAATATAATGTCTGTATATTCATAAAAATTGTATAATATTATCGAAAAGTTGGCCACTGAATATTTATTCCAAAATTTCACACATCCATTAACATAACATATTCGTTTAATTTGGATTCGATGACCATATAATAATGTTATTAATATTACTTGACATTTTGCCTAAACAATTAAATCTTATTGTATAATAATTATCTCACTAGGCATAGGAGTAACTTACCAATACCTAAATTTGAATTTCATGAGTTTGTATTACAGAGAGCCGTATTGAAACTAAATTTATACAACTTAAATTAATATTACGAGAAGAATAACATATAAGTGCATGATAAAAATTTAACATACTAATGAGATAAAGGAAATTCATTAATATTTTACTTCATCCCTAACACTTTACATTAATTTGTAATTTTAAACTTCAATTTGACACACAATTAACAGAATATGAAATAAGTTTCATGAATTCATATATACATTACAGTAATGTCGCAAACTACTAAAATTCGATGATCGTATCATCATCATGTGGTATACATTTCATGTCTGCCGATAGGGTTGCATTCCTACAGTATTACCATGTTTATACGATTTCTAGATATCATCTATGCTGTCAAGATACATAGAAATTCTAATCAACCAGTTTTAACTTTATGGAAATCATAATGAACAAGGACTTCAAAAAGTATGTTTATTCGAGAGCTGATATATTAAAGCATTTGATTTAATATCCAGTTTTTAAACTTTATAAGCTTTTTTCTAGACTGATATTATTATTATTTTTTTTTTACAGTGACAAATATAAATCTTCGTATTATGTACTTTAATTTGTTACAAATGTGTTGTTACTTGCCCAGATATAATGAAGCAAACAATTAACAATTCCTATGTTATGTTTAGTTAATCTTAAACATACATTATATTTATCACCAACATACACCGGTAAACTATATAAACATGGTAATTAAGTAATATATTTCTAACAAAAGCCAACTTATGTGTTCGGCTAGAACGCAAGATGTTCTCAATCATAAAATATCTATCTCCATGTGCATGTGGCACACACATGTATTTACAACCATATTGTACCTACGATATTCAATTCTATTATCGGGATTATATTCACAAACGCTCCTCCCAAACAGGAGTTTTAAAATATATTAAGAAACATATTGGGCCCTAAATGAATGAGTTCTAGAGAAATTATTTTGAGTCTGGTAAACTATGAGACAATTCAAAGTTTTCGATGTTATCGGAAACTAAGTTATTGAGATCGAATTTGTTACATTTACATAGAAATGTGTCGAAGTGTCTTAGTTAACGGTAAATGTACAATGCTACAATTCACAATATTTCATTAAAATAATAATCTTGCAGCAGTAGTTTTCGCAAAATTAAAATAATTTAAGGAGCAAGTAACACGCGACAACGTCAAACTAATACCCCTGTAATAATGGCACCAACTTATCGCACCGTATACTGCCTACATAACTTTGTTATTGTATATTATATAATTATAAAAAAATCGATCCTAGCGAATAAAATGTATAAAATCTTAATTTTACAAAAGCAAAGCGCTAAACTTATACTAATAATCATTCTATATGAAATGTCACATTTGAAACGGAAATCCACATCTTTGATAATATAAAATAAAAATCGAACTTAGTTCGATAATCACACCACAGTACTAAATGGAAATAAATTAAAGGCTCATTTTATGACACATAAAGTGTCGGTGGACGTTAGAGTTTAGTCATATGTGGTGATTAGTTGGCCACCGCCACGTCAGTCGTCGTCTCCTGGAAACAAACATAACAAATGAGTGTAAAGGTTTATAAGGCAATGCATTACAATTACATTTATGGAATAAAACTTTCAATAGATGGTTAGAATTTTATTTTTATAGGACTTACCATGTCAGTTTTCAGTTCTGGTACAACTGGAACTTCAGGGATCAAATCTGCTATTTTGTCGCTGACAGGTAGGGGTTCCTGTAATAATACATCAGTTTAGAATTATGATCAATCGGAAAAAATACCCGTAAAATCAGGTACAGTAAACATCTATCATGATATCATGTAGAAGATCTTTTAATTATTTATTTTATATTAAAAAAAAAATAGTTATTTTCAGCCGTTTCTGTAATAAGGTGTTAATTTTGAAAAATAAAATTTGTTGGTACAAGTTGGTTGTTGGATCTAATCTATCATCTATTGTCATGCAGATGCATGAAAATTTCATTTTCAATACAGCCGGTAAGTATTACTATACTAGTTTGTTAGCAACTGCTGTTTTGTTACTTGTATTGCCTTTACATTTTTTTATTCATTAAAAGTAAATAAACGTTTTATATAGTAAAACTGTGAACGCTTCTGATGATGATTATATCAAATAGATATTTTTTATTGTTTGTCTAATTGAAAAGCCATATTATACTTTAATTTAAAGTTCTAGTTTAATTTCTAAATTACATGTTTTATGATAAAATTTAGATTATTTTATAATAAAAGAGATAAAATTCAAAGATTAAATTTATATAAAAGTGATAAAATTCAAAGATTAAATTTAATTTAAAAGATTGATAACATATTTTGTAATATTATGGTCTCAATAATATTATTGTGGTGTGACTTGTAACTTGAATCAGACTTATAGAATACCAGTGTGAATTCATTTCAAAAATGTGTAAAACTGATTATAATGTATGCATAATAAATGTGAACTTATCATCTTATAATGTTGTTGTAAATGAATAATTTGTCCAATGTTTAGAGGCTTCAAGTTATTACATATTCAGCGGAACTAATTTAAACATAATACTACACTATAGTACAAGAAAAATAAATTTAAAAACATTAGCAAGTAGTTGTAGCAAGACTTATATTAATCTATTTATGATAAGTGTTAGCACTGAAGCGCAAGTTTAACATGCTGTTTTCTCAATTCTGAATATCTACATCAATGTATGTTAAGCAAAAAAGGAAAGGATGGGATAGGAGGGCAGCGCGTAGACGCGTGACCGTATATGGGATATTTCGATTCGAGCACACTCCAATTCTTCTGGTTATTGACGATCCACACATGCTGATAAAGATAATGCACATGAAACTAAATACGGTAATTGTTAACTTGATGGCAAAACGCTCTTTAAGTTACGTTACTAATCCACTACAAGAGTAAGACTGTCCGGACAGTATTCACCTGTGGAATGTCCGCGGGCGCATCATCGTTCGGCTCCGGAGTAGCGGCCGGTGATACCTCCGATTCGGAGCGACAGAGCTCGCTCGGCGGCAGCGGGAATGATTCAGACGCATCGTTGCTTGCGACGCCCGCCTCCTCGGGCGGCAAATAGTCATTCGTCTCCGAAATGGAAGGCGGCAAAGAGTCATCCGTCACTATCGTCGTGGTCGCTTTTTCTAATTCCATGGTTACATTATCTAATGGCGTTGTGTCCGATATGATATCTACTTTTGCTACATTGCATTCATCTATATTACCATTGCACTCACTTATTACATTTCCGAGAGAATCTTTAGTTGCGTTTTTTGATATATCTTCAGTATCATTGTTACCATTAATGCATTCATCACTAATAATATTGGTATCGTTAATAACCGTCACATTAGATATAACGATTGATCCTTCAATTTTATGAGTGGTATTTATTGGTGTTTCAATGTTATCTACTGGTGGAGGAGGAGGGAAATCTTCACTGTCATGGTTGACTTCCGAGTTTTCTTGAACTTTTGTTACTTCAGAGTCAATAGGAGGAGGCACATTAATTTCTGAATTTTCAAGAGGTGTTTCCTTAATTTCTATAGAAGTAGCCTTTTGTGGACTTTCAGGAGGGGGTATATCAATTTCTGGGCAATCAGGAAGAGGGGCATTATTGTCTATAGTTTCAGGAAGCGATGCATCTACTTTTATTACTTCTGGAACATTGACTTCTGACAGTTGAGGAAGAGACACATCTACTTCAGAAATTTCTTTAATTTCAAATGTGTCTTTGTCTGTTTGAGATGACTGTGTTTGAATGATTTCAGGAACTTTATCGATATCTGAATTACCTATATTCTCTTTTAAAATAGAAGAGTCGCATGATTGTTTATTTTCCTCAAGTTGGACACTTTCAACTGATTTTTCTGCACAGATTTCCATTAAAGGTGGGGAAGGGTCATTTAAATTTTCAGTATTGAGTAAAGGCTTTGTTGTTTCAGTTATGTCTTCTTTGGGCAAATCTGCTTTAGTGTCAAGCAATGCGGGCGGTGACGAGATTGCGGTTTCTGTGGTGTTAGCTAGCGAAGCATCTGTCAATTCGGGTGCCATAGTAGTGGCGGCAAAAGAAGCCACTGATGAAGGAGGGGGATTTGCAGGAAGTGGTGGAGGCGTGGATTCTATCAAAGGCATTTGTTCAACACAAACCTCTTTTTTGACAGGGATTTCGGGGGCTGGAACTGACTCAGTCGTTTCCGCTGGTTGTACAGGATTACATTCCTCGATTTTCTTTACTTCAGTTGCATCACTTTTGGGTTCTTCCAATGATAGACCATTAACAGCCAACTGCTCCACTTCAGGTTCGTCTTTAGATTCAGGCCTGTTGGTTTCTTGGGTTGGTGCAACATTCTCTTCAATAACGGGAGCCTCCACTTTGGGTGATTCTGGTGTAGTGCTTCCGTTAGTGATGGGTTCAGTTACTGGAGTTTCCGGAGTCTTTTCCTCTTTATTTTCGGTTGTTGGTTTTGCTTCTTCAGCGACTTCATTAATCGCAGTCTCATTGGTGGTTTCGGCCGCCTATGAACATAAAAAATATAAAATTACATTATTACACTATATAATTACATATTTACACAATTTGTATTCATACATATTTATATTTTTTTCGTCAATAAAACCAAAGTTTTTAATACACATTATAAATGTACATAGATAATTTGACAGTTGACTGTATTTTTAAATATGTACGTATTGGTTATTATTTTCCATTAGGTGCACTGTCAACGTGTTTGCCATGTCCAGAGATACAAAAAATATCTAAAGAATTATTTACAGTGATCGAATTACTTATTTTAAGAAATGCAATTACATACAGCAAATAAGAGATTTAATGATCATCATAAAATTATTTTAAACTTTATCATTAATTGATTATCATTTAAAATATTAGACTATTTTGGTACTAAGATGACTAAAATTTCGTGTAATATGAATAACAGTTTAGGAATATAATATTATACTTTTTTTTTATTTTTGGATATTAATTAGTTTACACAATGATTAGAGTAATTAATTGGGTTAATAATGCACTATCACACAACTTTTACAAAGCACAATCACATGTACCTTATCATCGGCCATTGTTGGTGGAATTTTAGTAGTTAATAGTTGTTTTAAACAAGATATCCTGATTGAGACTGAAGGGAAGTTCATAGAAGCAATGTAATTTATAGTACCATTTATTGTAACGGAAGATTGACGCTCATTTTTAGATGTTACCCTTCATTGCTCGTGAACGGAGGCGTATTATATTACGAACTCCAATAGGGTTACCTGTTCATTAATCATTCACATTTAATAATGTTAGCTTTTATGTTTTTATTATTAACTAGCGGCCCGTCCCGGCATCGCACGGGTGGGCATTTTTAACATTTCCCATCACTGCTCTGCTCCTATTTATTGTAGTGTGATAAAAAGTATACTATAACCTGCCCAGGAGTATGAAGAATAACTGTACCAAGTTTCGTTAAAATCCGTCGAGTAGTTTTTGTTTCTATAACGAACATACAGACAGACAGTAAAAAATTTTACTGATTGCATTTTTGGCATCAGTATCGATCACCAATCACCCCCTGATAGTTATTTTGGAAATATATTTCATGTACAGAATTGACCTTTCTACAGATTTATTATATTATAAATATAGATAGATTTGCTAACATGTAAATCGTGAATCAATTTATTTGAATATACATATTCGTCATACTTATTCTTTATACTAATGCTATGAACGAAACAATGTTTGAGTCACTTAAAGGAAAAATCAAATGGTTATCAAGTCACTAAAAGTACAACATATCTACATAACTAAAATTACAAAACCAAAATAATGCCCACATGTCTAACGAAAAAATGTCACTCGTATTAACAGAATTTATTTTCCATTTATGCATCGATCCGTAACCTGATATTTAAACAAAAGCATAATTTTACACTTGGTATTTACGAGACGCTGATACTCGTATTAAAACTACGACCTTACTTAGTTGCAATTTCTTGTAGATTTGGGCGTCGACATACTAGATAAAAAAAAATTTAGAAGTGCGCACATCTCATAGTGAAATGATTATATACTATTATATAATCACACACAGTCATGAACATTATCATCATTTGGAGGTGAAATGATAGACATTAATCATAACTTAATCAAAGGTTTACGACGACTGAAAATTTGGTGGAACACAAACCAAAATCCATATCGATTATGAATTATGATAGTACTGACAGTGACCGTAAAATTGTGCAGAAGACATCCACACCTGAATATAATAATCTAAACTGCCTAGTTTAGGTCATACTTAAATAAACCCTAAAAATATTATTAATGTACATTTCAGACAAAAAGTTATGCATGTAATAATATTATGAAGATATATATAAATAGAATTTCGAATAGTTTACAATAAACATTATATGTTATTTCTGTTCGTAGACACACAACCGCAGGGTTGTGGTGAACAATAAAACGATATCACTACACAAGGACGTCTTTGTTTACTGATGTAGAAAGACACGCCTCAAGTGCTTCAGTAATAGATGTATGCGATCCGGGTTTGGCACTCGACAGGATGAATGCATCTATAATAATTTAAAATTTTCTTTATAATAATAGATTTATTAATATATAAAAATTAATGCCTAGTTGCAGTAAAAAAAATTGCAAAATTAATATGCAACTAAGACGGGAATAAATCCTACCAGTTGTAAAAACAATTATTAAAATTGGTTGAAAATATGCGTAACATATACTGTCAAATCTGTTATTATATTCATAATATGTGGGTAAGTCGAATTGTTACAAAACAAAAGTCTAATGACTAGGATTACAGCCAACATCTTACTAATATAATAAAATTGTAACTGGAAGTTGTTTTAAACATGGAAGCTTTAAAAAATTTTAAGAGGGTTGTAATAGGAACAATAGAAGCCAAAAGTATTTTTTTTAAGATTTTTGTCTGCCTGTACGTTTGTTCCACCAGCATCACGCCGGAATGAATGCAGTTTACACTGTTGTGTTCCTAAAGATGGCGTATGCTTTATTTTGATATGCCATCTAAAAGTGATCTTCATTCATTCTTCCATTGGATTTCCTACATCTGAAATCCGCGTGTACGAAATAGAGGGCATAAAGCTATATAAAGCTTATAAAATGGCACCATAACATCTATTTTAGTTACGTTATTAGGCCAATAAATTCTATAATCATTTTATTAGAATTAAATTAATCCCAATTGATGATTAAGCATGCATATCAAACAGCCCGCATGCGCCCTTGGACTAGATGAATATATCAATTAAAGGCATTATATTCTTGTTGAAATATAATGTACTTTCGAAATTGAAAAAAATACATAGATTATATCAAACATTATCAATTTGTATTGACGGTCAGTCCTATAAGTATATATTTCACAATATATAGTACTACTTAACGGGTAACGTAACGCGACAACTACAAACGATTCGACTAATTCATTCGGTCGCAATGGATTAACCATGAATTAAAAGTTTAGCTGTCAACCAATACGGGCTTAAAACACTAATTGTGTTGACCGTTTATAGATATAGAAAATTCTATTGTTATTACGATATAATTGTGGAGCGATTGTTACCAACAAAGAGCAACGACCGGCTGTATATGAGTTAGTTACTTCGAATATATTTTGTCTTGAAGAAAAGCCCACATGGAATTAATGGTATTTGTTAAGATATTTTAAAAGTTATAGTCTCGTGATTTCTTTCTTTTTTTTTTTTAAAGATTTTTGAAAAAAAAATTAACAAACCTTTCATTCCCTAGAGTTAGAAATTAATATATAGCTTAAATGGAATGTAACATTCACACTGCTCAATAGAATTTAATGAAAAAGAATAAACAAGTTTTGTGGAAATTATAACAAAAACACTCTTCAAATTAATGACAAACCTACACTTTCAAACAATTTATCATTGGGTACTATTTAATAAATCTTACAAGGAAATTTGGCAGCATTGTTAATAATGCCTAGTCAACTTTCTTAACTGCTTTATAATTAAAATATCCCATAAATAAAGGGTGTGTACTTAATGTATGAGTACGATGGATAATATATGAAACATTTATACGAATATTTTTGTATTAGATTCGATTAGATGTATGGTAATTGTTTTATATTAGAAACCTATAAAAAATTTAACATATTGAACTTAAAAAACGTGCAACTTTCGATTAATAAATGAATACTTATCGAACAAACATCGATTTTATAAGGGTTGATAAAAATTGCGATTTATTTTAGTAAACATAAAAAAGACAGTTCTCAATTCGGCTGTTTTTTAATATAACTCAGAGCGACAAATGGTCATTGTCCTATTCATGGTACCTCTCATGGGTTGTCATTTCAGGTTTTAATATTTTCATTAATTCTGGACCGATACAAATTTTGTCCGTCTATTTGTGTGTCTGCACGTTTGTTACATTATCACACAAAAACTACTGCACTTAATTATATATCCTTTTCACAGTTATGTTCCTAAGGGTATAAATTAAAATCTAGTGTATGTTTTATCTTGATACGCTATCTAATGAGTTCCATTTCATTGGCTTAGTTATTTATGAAATTCACGTGTACGAAGTAGCGGGCAAAAAGCTAGTTTTTCCTAAATATTGATATTGTTTTATTTTTATATTGGTTTATTTGTGTTAATCTCAATAGTGAATGAGTATACTTTTATTCGCATTATAAAACAGAGAGAATAATAAGATCATAAGCAATAAATGCAATAGATTCAATAAATATACATACTTGTATAAGCACAATAAAACGGTCGTATTAAAAGCAATCTTCAGAAGAAATAAAATAAAGGTTTCTATATTCATAACGTTATAATTTGTACAATAAATTTACATATAGGATTAGAAACAGAATGGCATCCGAATCGAACGTGCAAAGTAACGAGAACAATGGTTTCCACTTTAGTAACGGAGTTACAAGCACGGGAAGCTAACGGTTATATTGAACAGGCTCGAACCATGATTAATATCAATACTTATGTCTGTCGCCGCATCTTCAGTTGTGAACATGTAAATGTGATCGACACGTTTAAGAAAAAGCTTTTACCTAACATACATAGGTATTTAAATTTCAATATTCAGTATCAATAATTATAATGCATAATCTGTGGCGTACGTATGCAATATCTATTTGTAACGTTTTCACAGTAAAACAAATTCTTATAAACTATCTTAGTTTGTATTTTTAAGAAAGAACAACATATATGCAGGTTTCTTTAGTTTTGGTTTAACATATTGATAATAAGCAACACGGTTTAACGTGTATATCCTAATTTTTTTTACTACCTAAAATTATAAAATCGCAACAAGTAAAATAAATACAAAAGCTTTAATTGCGCATGAAATCACCTCTCCAATAACACGACATGGGTATAGTGCTGTGGCACCGGTAGTACCTACCGTCGCTTTATCCGATCTCTAACGGTAAATGTAAAACGATGAGGGAGGTGACTCACTGGCACCA